TGTTAAGCAAATTATTTGTCACTGGATGGATGATCCTAAATTCCATATTTTCATGGAAAGTAACAGTAAAGTGCTTTATAGGATGCAAGAAAGGAAGAAAGATGCACATAGGCAGAAGAAGTCATGTTATATTTTGTTATTGAGATTCATGCAAAAGGATTGCCTATCATACACAAAGCAACAGTGTCAAGAGAAATTGCCAAATTCCTCACAATAGGTGAATGCAATCTCAGTGTGATAGGAAGCTAGAGTAAATGAATCATGCATTGCAAGGAACTATCTTGAAGATGTATGATATCCATTTATCAGAAACTTCCTGCTGATTTGGAACAGAATACACTTAACTTCCAGCATGATGCCATTGAGGAAAAAGTTCAGTATGTGTTTAATCAAATAGGTAATGCCTGGTGTGAGAATTTGTTTTCTTTGAGGAGACTTAAAATTACACTGTCAATGCAAAAGGATCTTTAAAGGGATTAAGAATATGAGTTTGAGTTATGACAAGCGGTGTGTCACTGTAATCTTATACCTGCCAATTGCTGAAGTTACTGCCATATTTAATTTAATTTAAACAATGTCTAAGAAGAATTTCTTTTAAAATATTATTGGGAGCAGACCCAAAGAGTATGGTTAATGGTTGAGCTGATAAAGGGCTGGTTAGAAGTCTTCTGGAATAGACATCCAGGAACCTACTGTATTTTCTAGTCTTCAGTGATTTTACGGACATGTCTCTGAGCAGTTAAATAATTTCATCTAAAAGCATAGTGATATGGTTGTTAATCATGATGGCATGACTAGGCCACTACAATCCCTCAATGTTTCTGTCAACAAACCATATAAGGACTGCTTGCAGAAGGAGTGTGAGTCCTGGTTCTTGTCTGAAGATTTTCTATTAAGAACTTCTGGTAAGATCAAGAAAGCGTCAGCATCAAAACTTACAGGCTGGAGACAGTAGTTGTGAACACTTTAAGGAAATGCTGCCTCATGGATATTTTTGATGTCCCAGAGGACATTATTTTATGGAAAAATATGAATTCCAATGAGTCCATGTTGAAAAGAGATTCAGAAAATTTGAATTCTAAGTGTATGAAGAAGTTTTAGGAATACATTACCAATTTACTTCACATGTATTTACCCTTTTTATATATGCACAGTACTGCTATGTGATTTTAAATATTTATATCTCCATAGAAATAAACCTAGTCCTTTCAGTAAGTACAAAATAAAAATTCCAAGTGATAAAAAGCATTATGTCATAGTTTATATTTTTGCTTCAAAGCTAAAAGCATCATTAAAGTTCAGTTCACAGAAATGGGAGGTTTGACTCACTAGTAATGTGTAAGTCTGAATGTGTGTGACAGCACCACAAGGACAAAAAGCCACAGAATAGATTTTTACATACCTCTTTCAATAATTGATAAAATTAACCAGGAAATAAAATCCACAAGGATGCAGAAATTTGAAGAAAACAATGAACAAACTTGGGTTAATGAGCCTGGTTAAGACATTTGCAGTGAACAACTGCAGACTTCGCATTCTCCACAAGCTTACGAGAGGTGCATCTGCCGGGCCACAGAGCAAGTCTCAGCAAATTTTAAGTGGTTGAGGTCACTCAGAAAATCTACTCTGATTAGAATTTTTAAATCTATAAAAAAAATCAGTTAAGGAGCGCCTGGGTGGCTCAGCTGGTTAAGCATCTGACTCTTGGTTTTGTCTCAGGTCACGATCTCAGGGTTGGCGTGGAGCCTGCTTAAGATTCTCTCTCTCTCTCTCCCTTTCCCTCCGCCCCTAATGCCCCACTCGAGAGCTCACTCTCTTTCTCTAAAATAAAATAAACAAATAAAATCCTTTTAAAAAATCAGTTAAAAAACCAGAGAAGTAGAAAACCCCCATGTTTGGAAATTAACCAATACATTTCTAAGTAAAACTTAGGATGAAGGTAAAATTCTGATGGAAGTTAGATGTTAGAAAAGGGAAAAAATGTTATCAATATTCACACAAGATATGATTTATATATGTGGAAAATCCAAGAGAGTCTACAGATAAATTGTTAGAATTGTTGAGATATTAAAAACACATTATTAGAGTCAATAAGGGTTTAGCAAAGTTGCTAGCTTCAAAATCAATATATGGAAGTCAAATATATTTCTACATGCCAGCAAAAACAATTAGGAAAGAAAGATACTATTTATTCTGTTATCAAAATACCAATTATATGGAAATAAACCTAACAAAAAATGTGTAAGATTCCCATAGATAATTATAATGCTTAATAGAGAAACATTAAAGAAGACCCCAATAAATGGATTAGAATACAATTATAAAGATGTCAATCTCCCAAATGTATCTAAAGATATAGTGCCATTCAAATTCTCAACATGGTTATATGTATGTGCGCAGGTTGACGAGCTGGTTCTAAAATTTATATGGAAATGCAAAGAAACCTACTTGACATCAAAATTTGTTATAAAGCTCTAGTAATTAAGATAGGCTGTGACAAAACAGAGATAGAATTCTAAGATGGAATAGAGTTCAGAAGCAAAACCATCCACATGTGGATCTTGACTTATGAAAGTGTTGGCCCAGCAGAGCATGGTGAAAAAACAGAATGTTCAAGAAATTTTGTCAGAACTGAGTATCCGTATAGAAAAATGTGAAAAAGACCTCTCATTATTAGCAAGCTCCAACTGAATTACAATGAAAGACAACACTATAAAGACTTAACAGAGGGAAAAAACCGCCATGACTGGAGGTTAGGAAACATTTCATAAGTCATAAAAAGCACTAGCCATAAAGAGAAGAATTAACAAGTTTGAGTTCACTAAAATAGAAACTTCTATTCATTGCCACTTGGGAAAAGTCAAGCCACGGAGCAGAAGATATATGCACTATACATGCGTGAGACAAGAGAGACACACAACAGAAAATGTGCAGTTTTTTTCTCTCTGGTGTTCTCTTCCTCCCACCAACACACGCTCAGGGGTGTTTTTTTTGTTTTGTTTCGGTTTGGTTTGGTTTTGGTTTTGGTTGCTTTTTTTTTTTTTTGAGGTCCATATACATGGTAACTGAAAGGTGAACGTGAGTACATCTTTGATATTTACAAAAATAAAAAGCACTAATTTGGTTTTGAGTCTATAATGATCAATTTTCCATAAGAAGTTTTTGTCTCATACGTTTAAGGGAGGGACTAAGTTAGGAAAAATGCAAAAGGAAAGTGAAAAGATAGCCTAGATGGACATGGTGGTGATCCTGTGCTCTGAACAAGGGAGAAAAATGAATAGTTTAACCTTCTAAGACATAAAGGGAAACTTATCTGAAAGGGAAGGTAAACAGTGCAAGTAGGAAAGGAAAAGGAAAATGTGCACAATGGAGCTGAGAAACGTAGAAAGATAATATCTGAATGATCATGGAAAAGCTCCTATAATGGTGAGAAAAACAAGGACAAATAAGGGTGATTCTCAGGGTCTTAGAGGAACTCCAGATCTTGGACCGGAAGAGGAGTTTTCAAATTTACTTAAGTAACAGAGCCTCCAAAGGAGCCCCAGAAGAAGCCATTTATTAACAATGGAATATTTGCAAAATAAAGGCAAAATGAGAAAACATTGTTTTTTCTTGGGAAGTTGAATGGAAGGTTTATGGAAAACATCAGTAGATAGGAAAATTAACAATCAACAGGAACAAATTCTAACTAGAGAGGATCTGAAATTGTTAGCATGCAGAAGTGGGAAATTTGGTATCTCTGCTTAATAAAAAAGATCATTTTCATTTCTTTACCTTATGAGCTTCTGTCAATTCATTTTTATTTTTTTCTTTGGAGCTTTCTGATTTAAAAGGGAAAAAGTTTTGAAGCCTGTAGAATATGGAAGAGCAGGAACTCAGAAACTTGTTGTTTACCCTCGTTTTACAAATAGAAGTCCTAATTACTGTGCATCATCTAATAAAACTGTGGCAGCAGTGAAGGTCATAAAAATGTTTACAACCTCATTTCGTCCCTTGAAAGACCCTTTGGTTTGTCAATCTGTATAATCTTCCTTTTGATTAATTGTTAATTTTCCACTTTATGGATTGTTATTTTATTTTTTTCTCTTATTGACCCATTTGACAATTTCATAGATAATTAGCACGTCCTTCAGAGAGGAGGGTAGAGGGAAACTAAATAAATGTATTTGTCTACATTTATGAAGCTTCCTGTTAACCCTGGCTTGGAAAAGGTCTATTAACAAAGACGTTTAACACTATTGACTAAAATTATGGTGTTTTGGGGATTAGTCCTATAAACCAAGACAACTGAAACTCCTACAGGGTCTTGGCAGGTAAGGTAAATTATTAGTGCCTGGGTTTCTCAGTGGTGGGCACAATGGCAGCTGTGAGTTGTACATGCTCCTCCTGAAGGGATTACAATATTTAACTCACACGGCGTACCGAGCGGCTGAATTAAACCCGAAGGCTGCCAGTTCCAAGTTCTGCACCATTAGCCCAGGTAGTAAAAAATGTGTATGCTTAGGTGTGATAAAAATATTGTTGCTGAAATGTGTGATAGTCTCCCTCTAGTAAATTCGTATAGTTATAAACTAGTCAACATGAACAACAGCAAACAGGGACCAAAGAATGCTTTAAGCTTACCATGGAGCACAGAGTGAACAGGCGAACAGCTGGGACCACCCCGGTGCATAATCATTTACAAAGAAGTAACTCTTTTACCTAAAACCTATCCTAAGCCTAAAATAAATGGATCCTCCCGAGTGTGTGTTCAGGGCCTTTCCTAAGGGGTGCTCAAGAATTATTTTTAATTATTAAAAATGATTTTTGAAGAGAGAGCAATATGCTCCATAGAAATTTCACAATACAAGTTTCTGTGGCTTTAGAATAGATTGATGAAACAAATCCCAAATAGTTTCATATATTTATTGAGAGATTATTTTTGATTTACAAGTAGTGATGTTTTCATATGATGTATATATTTAAGCTTTTATGTTTGTTTTTGCTCACTTTTTTTCCAGGGAAAATTTCATGGAAATCCAATGCACGTAGCTGTGGTTATTTCGAATTGTTTAAGGGAAGAGAGGAGAATATTGGCTGCAGCCAACATGCCCATTCAGGTAATATTTTCTGAACTTGTGGTCTTGTTATCACTTGGAACTCCATTTTTCTGAAGCAGAAATTCTCATCTTCTTCCCCACCAGCTCCTTCTACCTGTGTTAATGGTGCCACTATCCTTCCAATCACTTGGAATCAAGATCTTAGGATCATCTTCGAGTAATTCCCTTTCTCTGCCTTCATACTGTGATAATTACCAAGGCTTTCTAGAGTTTGTTTCTTGACTCCTCTCTATACATTCTTTTCTGTTTCCATTGGTCACACTCTGGTCCATGGTCTTACAATATCAGTTGAGGAATATAGTTAAGTGCCTCCTAGCTGAATTCCTAACTACCATTTGGACTTTGCTTCCCTCAGCATGATTATCCTCAGGGATTGATCTTTGTCAAAACCTTCTATGGCTCCCGATTTCCTACCCCCACCAGTACAAAACTACACACACAACATTTTATCTTATGGAAACTCCACAAATACTTGCTTGTTGATTGTTTTAATGTACTTTGCCCTGCTGTATTTTAGATTATATTTTATCACACTATTCTCAGTGAATTCAGAGCCCCCATCAAAGACAAATAGAGGGATCAATGAAGTCCTTGGGAATGCTTTTTCAGTTAATCCTTATAAAAGGAAAGAGTATGTAAGTAATCAATTTCCAGATGATGTCCTCCATAATTTAGTAAATCACACCACTATATTTATTTCTAAACGTTGAGGAAAGTATCTTTTTTTGAGCTGTTAGAAATGTTTAGACTTAGGGCGCCTGGGTGGCTCAGCTGGTTAAGTGACTGCCTTCGGCTCAGGTCATGATCCTGGAGTCCCGGGATCGAGTCCCACATCGGGCTCCCTGCTCAGCAGGGAGTCTGCTTCTCCCTCTGACCCTCTTCCCTCTCGTGCTCTCTATCTCTCATTCTCTCTCTCTCAAATAAATAAATAAAATCTTTTAAAAAAAATGCTTAGACTTAGTTATTGTCGTGTTATGGTTGTTTTTGGAAAAATATGGAATTTTAACAATTTGCTCTTCTTTTTTAGATAAAGGATAATATTTTTATTTAATTTAAAATCTAAAGTATAGTGCTTCTAAAGTAAATATAGTTTGATTCAGTGCATTTTGGGTAAAAATTAAGATGCTATTACTTCTAATATATGATATTCTCACATATATTCTCAGCTATCCTTTTCTATATCCCTCTCATCTGCAGTCATTTTAGTGTGTGTGTGGGGGGGTGTGGGTGTGGGTGTTGTCTTCAAATGTCAGGTATCAGTCAAATTAGAAACTACAAACAATCTGCCAGTACCCCATACTACCACAAAAATTTCAAACCTTCAAACCAATATACAAATATATGGAAGCATATATATATGGAAGCATATATATATATATATATATATATATATATATATATGGAGAGAGAGAGGGAGGGATTTTAGAACTATTTTTCCAATCTGAAGAATGTGGTGTAGTTGAAAGAACACTTGATTTGTAGCCAAGCACATTAGTTCTACTTGAGGTTCCACCACTGATTTGCTTAGTCAAGTCATCAGCCTTTCTAACCGTAGCTCCTCGCCAACCTCTAACGCAAAGGTTGCTGACATTCTAACTGGGTATCTATGTGGCTTGATATCTAAGGAACACATTCAGTGTCTTTATATCTAAGGAACACTCAATGTTATATTATTTGAATGACCAAGAAATGGTGCATGGAAAGGTTGGTTAACCTTTCTATTTAACTAGGCTAACATTTTTAGATATTCTTTTGTGAACTCCCTCTGTTCCAGTGTAAAAGTAAATCTCATCCTAGCAGAGTCAACATCCCTAATTCTGAATTTAAGTCCAATTCAATGTAGTTTCGCTATACTCATTTTTAAATTACATGTATTCATTTTAGAGAATTTCAAAAGCAATGTAGGTCTGTTATAGAAAATTAGGGAAAAAAGTTTAAGCCACAAAATCATGTGTGATTCCACTTACATATTGATGATGTTTTGGTGTGTGTGTCCTTCCAGTCCTATGTACTTGAGTTTACAAATGTCTATACATATATCCATCTGTTTATACATACATATATATAAGGAAGAGGGATCATAAATACATGGTGTTTTTATAATTTGCTCTACTTCTTAACAACTTAATGCTACTTTAAATGTCATTAAATAAAGTATGATTTTTAATGGCTGTGTAGTATTCCATATCCTATGAATTCAAACCTCAGTTCAAAGTATACTACATATACTACACTTATCATAAACTTGTTTTATTCATATCATTGAAATTTCAAGACATTCTTTTTCCAGGGACCTCTGGAGAAATCCTTACAAAGTTCTTCAGTTTCAGAAAGGCAGAGGAATGTGGAGCACAAAGTGGCTGCCATTAAAAATAGTGTGCAGGTGAGTAAGCTCATAGAAACCAAGCAAGTCTAGCTATTGCCCCCAAACATCTAACTGTGCCCAAAGTTAGCCCTTACAGAAATCAGGGCAATTTGATAATAAAATAACTCTCTCTCACATACTATGTTTATATTAGAAAAGATTTCTTGGGGGGGAAACCTTTCAGCTTCAATTTACTGGAGACTGGGCCTACCCCACCAAATTCCATGCTTCTAAACCTTCACATTGTAAAACTCTGCATCTTCATCTATAAAAGTGAGGATGACCACCATCACAGGAGTGCTATGAAGGGCTATATGAGATAATATAAGAAAAGCCTTTAGCCCAGATCTTGGCACTTAATACCTATTATGAGCAGACAGACATTACCAGGTTTGGAGAAGAGCAAAGTGAAATCTCAAAACAGAAACACAGGACACATGGATATTTTTCTAAGAAGTAGAGAGAGGAAAAAAATGTAGACTGAATTGCCATAAACTACAGCAGGTTCGAATAGAGACTTTAAGTGAAAAGATAATTGGTACATTAATGCAGGGGAACTAAAAGGGAAAAGGTATCCATATTCTCCAGCAAAAAAAAAAAAAAAAAAAAGACATTAGAATCATTTGGAACTAAATGAGAAATAAGAGGCATGATGCTGAAAGATTTCCAAATGATCAAGAAGTGCAAATGGAAAAGCAGATTTAGTCTGGTTCTTCCAGTGCTATTCAGCGTTCATGGGTATTGCTCTTTAGAAATGTAGGTTCTATACACTTAGTCCAGTATGTGACTGGAGGCCGGAAGCACCAAACAGCATACTTTGAAATACTGATGATGATGTTTCACTGACATGCTTAATTAAAACAACAGAGTGAATATGTTTTCTTTTGTAAAAAGATGACAGAACAAGACACCAAATATTTAGAAGATCTTCAAGATGAATTTGACTACAGGTATAAAACAATTCAGACAATGGGTAAGTTTTTATTTTGTCTATAATCCTACTTAGGGACATAAAGACAACATGACTGGGATTTCCTCTTCATACTGACAAAACTGATAAATTGATCTACCTCCCTAAGGGAAGTGCTTTTGTTTTTGTTTTGAAGAGATAGTACAGGAGAGGAGTATTTTGCTTCCTCCTTTTCTTTCCATATATATATATATTATATTTTTTTTTTACCAGCCAATTCAAAATAAATTATAAAGCTCATGAGAAATCACTCCTACTTTAGCACACATCTCCAAAAACTAAAAATATTCTCCTATAGAATCAAAACATCATTATCATGACTAAGAAAAGTAATGATAGTTGCCTGGTATGATCAGGAAATTACTAATGTCATCCCTAGGTGAGTTTTTTAATATGTTTTTTAAGATTATAAGTAGAAACATAAGGCATCTGGCTGGCTCAGTCAATAAAGCCCACGACTCTTGATCTCAGGTTCGTGAGTTCAAGCTCCACACTGGTGTGGAGCCTGCTTTAAAAAAAATTTTTTTTAATCATAGGTAGAATATGATTCACTGTAGGAAATTTGGAAAATAGACAAAAGCATTAAAAAAATATAAAATCACAAAATTCCACTATCTGTAGATAAACAGTCAAAATGTTAGTATATCTCCTTACAACATTTTCCCCATGCATTCAAATACACACATATCTATTTATTTGCAACAAACTTGAGGTCCTTTACATAGGTTTGTGTATTGCATTCTGAAGTTTTAAGTTATTTTCCCATATCATAAAAAATCTTCAAAAACATAATTTCAATAACTGTATAAATGTCAAAATGTAAGGACGCTGCAATTGTTTGACTATATCTTTGTGATTAAACATGGAGTTTGTTTACAATTTGATGTCTTTTTAAAAAATAGAAAGGAAGAATGAGAATATTTACAGGGTCTAAAATTTACAAGTAACAGGATTGATCATTTGAAGTGTGTTCCCATTAGTGGGAGGATCAGAGAAATTCCAATTAGATCGAGATTAACAGGATTGTTAGTAGGATTGTACCAATGTTAATTTGCTGGCTTCGATAACTGTACTATGCTGATGTAAGATATTAGAGGACGCTGATAAAGGGCAGATGGGAACTCTACTATTTTTGCAACTCTTGTAATTCTAAAATTATTTTTAAATAATTTTTAAAAACAAATTGGATAGAAATCTTTTATTTACAGAAGCATCTTTAACTGTTGAAATGTTAACTTAAAATTCATCTGGAAGGAAGTATGGATGATTGTGACCAAGCACTTAACTTTCATCTCAGATTTAAAAGCGAAGATATAGGGGCGCCTGGGTGGCTCAGTCGTTAAGCGTCTGCCTTCGGCTCAGGTCATGGTCCCAGGGTCCTGGGATCGAGCCCCGCATCGGGCTCCCTGCTCCGCGGGAAGCCTGCTTCTGCCTCTCCCACTCCCCCTGCTTGTGTTTCCTCCTTCACTGTGTGTGTCTCTCTCTCTGTCAAATAAATAAATAAAATCTTTAAAAAAAAAAAGATTTAAAAGTGAAGATATTAGGATAGGAATCTTGTTTGGCATAAGTGAGGAGTGATGTGTTTCCTGGCATCTTCAGGATGTATTGACTCCCAGGAAATAATATTTAAAATGTTTGTAGTTGCGGGACACATGGGTGGCTCAGTCAGTTAAGTGACCAGCTCAGATCATGATCTCAGGGTCGTGGGATCGAGCCCCGCACTGGGCTCTGCACTTAAAGCGGAGTCTGCTTGTCCCTCTCCCTTCCCCTCCGTCCCTTCTTCCCCTGCTTGCTCTCTCTCTTAAATAAATAAATAAATAAATAAATAATCTTTAAAATGTTCATAATTGCTTATATGTACAGTTTTTCCCTTCAAAAGAAAGGGCACAAATGTGGGGATGATCAGAGTTTATCAGAGGGATCCGTGATCCTAAAAATGTTTACAACTGCCAATTTCACCAAGCGTTACAGTCCACTGAAAGCAGTCTCACCCAGGGCGCCGGGTGGCTCAGTCGTTAAGCGTCTGCCTTTGGCTCAGATCATGGTCCCAAGGTCCTGGGATCGAGTCCCGCATCGGACTCCCCGCTCCGCGGGAAGCCTGCTTCTCCCTCTCCCACTCCCCCTGCTTGTGTTCCCTCTCTCACTGTGTCTGTCTCTGTCAAATAAATAAATAAAATCTTAAGAAAAGGAAGCAGTCTCACCCGAAATCTCATATGTGAACCACCAGTTTAAGAAGTAGGATGTAACAAAATACATTAAACAATAAAATTATTTTGGACTTAATATATGACAATTACTATAATTAGTGCTTCATGAGCATTAGGAAGAATAAAAAATGCTCATTCTGTCACTAACATCAACTTTAAGTATTCATTTTGTTGGTTATAAGTGAAATGAAATGTTTTAAGTGAAATGAAAGACGCACAGGAAACAAGTTGTATCTTGCTGGTGAAGACTGAAAAGTATTAGAAAATGAAGTTTTGAGTTTATAAAAGGCTATATGAGCAAAATTTTGCTACACGTGGGATCTAGGAATTTGCAAGTTTGTGAATTAATAAAACCAGGAATAATTTCCCGGATTTCAGTGCTGTTCTGTGGAGAAATTTGGCACAATGTGGTTTTGGGGTCTCTTTTTCACAGTTACTCGAGTCAGACCAGCATTTCCGACTTTCACTCTGCATAAACAAGAGGGTTGGTATAAACAATCACTTGCTGTAGACCAATAAAGTTAAAGGTTCAAGTTAAAGAATATAATGTTTATTCCATGTCTCCCATTTAAGAGGATAAGCCATTTGGGGTTTTTTCAGTCAGAGATTTTTCTTACTCTGTAATTCTTTCCTACTTCTAGTTTTACTGTGAGGCAAGCCCATTTTGCAAAGGGAAAAAAAGGGGGGGGAAGCAAAGGATAGTCTTTATTAGTTCATGAGACTAAGTGGATAAAACTGCAACCCTTCCAGGCGTTTTCTGTAATTCCTGAATAAAAAGTAGAGCGGGAACAGGTGGGTAAAGGGATCGGGAAGAATCAAATATGATTTAATAATGGGTACAAAGATGGCCCCTTTCCTACTTATGCCAACTAGCTAGGGTTATTGTTAGTGTAGAGGTATCTAAAAAGGAATGCATTTCAAAAACCTTTTTAACCCTCTCACCACCCCAAAAAGGAGCATGGTGTGAGGAAGGGTCTTCTGTTAGGGACTTACTTTCAAGCTCTTCTGCAATGGCCGCATTTAGTCTCTTGTATCTTAGGACTTAAGGATGGGGAATGCAGCAGACTTGGCTTTCAGGACAGAGAGCTTCGCCTTGGAGAGGACTCTAAATCTCACCTCTTTTCCTTCACAGATCAGGGGGACAAGAACAATGCCCTAATGAATCAGGAAGTTTTGACTCTGCAAGAAATGCTTAACAGTCTCGACTTCAAGAGAAAGGTTAGTGAAGAACGTTAATTTGATCTTTTGCCTACTTTTCTCCTTTTCCTATATTCTGCTCCTACTGAAAAGAATCAAGCTCTTGGATTCATTCAGTTTTATTTAAGCTGAATGAATAAACGGCAGTGTTTCTAGGAAGAGTGCCATACTGTTTGCCGTGCTTCTCTTCTTAAGTTTACAAAGCTGGCCCTCTCTAGAGTTTATTTATCTTGCTTATGCAGTACATTTACTGTAGCTACCATTAATTTCAAGGCGAACATTTTACCCGGTTTTTATTTGCCACTATTTCAGACATGACCGTTTTAGTTTCTGTACTTAATATGCTGATATGGGTTCTACTACATGTATAATTAAAATATTACTTGATGGCCACTAAAATTTTATTAGAAAAATCAGTGTTCCAGTTTCCACTCTGAAAAATGACCTCATGCTAAGTAATTTAATAGATTTCAGGATAGTTCATTGACAACTGAACATATTCAATCTAACCTCCTTTCAAGGAGAGGAGAAAGCTTTTTCTGGCTCAATGAAATATTTTAAAAGAAGGGAAACATCTCTATTTCAACTTTCTATCCTTGAAAATAAATGCAATTGAAATTTGAGCAGTCACTGATAAATCAAGAGTTTATTTCTAAAAGTTCAGCTTCATTTTTTGTGCAGGAATTTGTGTGAACACAAATAAATGTAAAATTTATTTTCACCCTACATTATAAACTTCAACAATTAGAAATCAGATTTTAAACATGCAGATATTTAATCCAAGATAAGCTTAATGCATTTATGCATAATAGATCTATGCTATATGTTTTATGCGTGCTATCTTATTCTGCTTTAGAAATAAGATTTTAAGACAGAAGGAACCTTGGAAATAATTTGGTCCAATCACCTCATTGTATAGATCAGAAGACCAAGTTCCAGCAAAGTTAAGTGGTTTTTCCAAATTCACGTGGCTTGTCACAAAACCAGGATAGGAGTTCACACCTTCTAATCCTTAGGCCTTTGAAAGTTAAACTTCTCCACTATGCCTCCCTCAACTCAGATAAAGTCCTAAAAACACTAACACAGAAAGGCTCAAATTTTAGTCACCACATTTTAGAATAAATGCATATATTTATGAGAATATAAATTTAATTTATGTCTTTTTTAAAAAGCAGAGATATGGCTCTATGACTAGAAGATTCAATATTGTCACAGGAGTTACAAATTCACTGTATTTGAATTTGTACTAGATGATATTCAATGATATTATGATATAGTATGAGATTGTTAACTGCAATCATGCTTTTTCCTTTAATAACATTACTTCATTATAAGAATTTAATATGGAAAGTTGGAAAAGGCAGTGCTGTGATAAATAGAAGGTAGTATTTGATAAAATATTTGATGAGAATTTTAACCAAGCCTTTGTCCCCCAGGTCAGACAAATCATTTCACGGGTTGAATTATGAGTGACTTTGGTTGTATCTCACGAAAATCTTTTCAGTAGTCACCTTTGTTTTTAGGAAGCCCTCAGTAAGATAACCCAAATAGTAAACGAAACGGACTTGTTAATGAACAGCATGCTGATGGAAGAGCTGCAGGACTGGAAGAGGAGACAGCAGATCGCCTGCATTGGCGGGCCGCTCCACAATGGGCTCGACCAGCTTCAAAACTGGTAAAATGCATTTGACTTCAGTTTCTAGTGAAAACCACAGGAAGTACAAAACTTCAGTGTCGCTCAGCCAGAGAAGGCAGGCTCAGACCAAAACATAAATTCACTGAAGTTATTAATGGCTTATTAGCTGCTGGGAACTCTACAGTTGAGAAAAAAATAGATGCATACCATACGTATTTTTACTCTTATTCCCTTGGGCCAAAAATAAAGCATCTGTAGAACTCCATAGGATGCATAAGAATTGCTTAATTCTCTCCCATAATATACTAACCTTAAAAGACTCCAGTGAATTTTTGAAACCAGCAATGAATACAACTTCCTATAGGGACGTAAGAAGCACTGGCTTCAAAAGCTTGAGAAAGTTTTTCTTATATCTCAGTTTTTAAAGGTATATCTTAAGAAGTCAGAATTAAACACTGGTTTTGTGTTTTCCACAGAGTGATTTATTTTTGTATTTAAATTAAAAATCTCAAATGGCTACTACGACCTGACATCCCCAATGCATGCACATATGCAATCATATGCAGATACTATCCTTTGTATTACAAGAACAAATGCTGATGGGGTTTTCCTCATCCATGCGAAATAAAAATATCTGATTGAAAGAACACTTAGAAAAAAATAATGAAAAAGAAGGAAAACATTCAGTTGAAATCTAAAATTGCTTTCGAAGGGTACAATTCAGTTCAACGGAAATATGACATAACTGGGGCCATTTGCACTGAAACCTCTGCCCTGCTGGGCCTTCTTCTCCAGAACAGTAAGGAATTGGGCTCTTTCTAAAACATACTGAGTGTGCTCTCTTCAGCAGCACATATACTAAAACGTACTGAGTGTCCTTGGGGAGATGCTTCTGTTCTCTAACCTCACTGTAATAATAAACAGTAAATACATAATAAAAATAAAATATAATAATAAAAATAATAAACAACAAAGGAAGCAATCAAGAACTTAGCAGATAACAGTGCTTATACCAAAATCGGTGGGGGGTGGATAGATCTTTTCACAGCACTATGTGGGGAGTAAACTTCTAAGTAGAAAGAGCTGCTGTCGGGGCCAGATGGACTTACCAAGTCTGTCCAGACATCCCACCTCTTCTCCAGTTGACGGTCCCTTGGGTGTCCATTTTAGACTGTCTCTTCCCTAGACTTCAGGCCCAAGTTCCCACCTTCATTTCCAAGGTGAGATCACCACATAGTGAGTAAAACTCTAAGCCCGTACCTTTCTCCAGACAGATCATTTTTGGCCAATACTTAGGATTTGTAAAAAACATATTGGGGGAGGGAGTCCATTTCATATTGTTTTTTTTTTTCTTTAGTATTCTTGCACATAACATTCTTCATATCATGTATCTTTAAAGTTTTAAATTTGCTCTTTCTTTACCCATTAATGAGTACCATATCCTTAACATCTATATGTCTAACAGACTTTTAAACAAAATTAAAAGGGATTCGGTTCCTGATGTTGACAAAATTTTATAAATGATTTCTTTAACTACAGGTATAAATGACAAAACATTGAAAACATTTTCCATCTGTCATGCATCTTAGAGGAAAAAAAGGATTAGGGAAGTAAACATAAAGAACCGCCACTAACCTTTAATGGAATTAAGTGAATGATTTTGTTAATTGAATAATTATTTAATAATTTATTGCTTGCTAATGTGGTTAACAGTTAAAAAGGTAGTTTTTTTTTTTAATGGAAAGGCCCCGTGCTTTTTTTTTTTTAAGATTTTATTTATTTATTTGACAGAAACACAGCGAGAGAGGGAACACAAGCAGGGGGAGTGGGAGAGGGAGAAGCAGGCTTCCCTCAGAGCAGGGAGCCCGATGCGGGGCTCGATCCCAGGACCTGGGGATCATGACCTGAGCTGAAGGCAGATGCTTAACAACTGAGCCACTCAGGTGCCCCAGAATGGTAGATTGTTAAGTGGGAAAACAACCTGCTGATTTTCATTTGCTGTTTGATAGCTTTACACTGTTGGCAGAAAGTCTGTTTCAACTCAGAAGGCAATTGGAGAAATTAGAGGAACAGTCTACTAAAATGACATATGAAGGAGACCCCATCCCCATGCAAAGAGCACATCTGCTAGAAAGAGTCACCTTCTTGATCTACAACCTTTTTAAGAAGTAAGTAAATTTAAATGTCTTATGGCAGCCTCAGTCCTGTGGAGTTGTAAGGACACCCTGGCTGGGGTTTTGATGTTAAGGTGAAGGAAGGTAGAGAAGTGTTAAACAGTGAACCTCAGGGTAAAGTGCATAAAGCTCCAGAGAGTTCCAGAAACATTTCTGCTCTTCACTATTTATTCAACACTTCTCCCAAAAGCTGACTCAGTTTTCTGAGCCAAGCACAACATCTAGCTGAAGTTCATTTTTCACATTTTAGAAAAGGATTTCAGCAATTTCTTCTTAAGTATGTATCCAAGAAATGAAGGGTAGAGGCCATGTTTATGTGTATAAGCTCATCCAAAGGGGGGGAAAAAACCAAAAAAAACATTACTATGTACCAGGATTTCTAATATCCAGTTAAAAGATGGCATGAAATTAACTTTTTACTTTATGATAAAATAGTATGATAAAAATAGGCTTTTATTCTCAACTCAAGGGTAACAAGAACTATTTACTGTTATTATTTAAAGAACAGTCTTTAGGCATTTTTTTTCCATCTCCTGGTAATTATCTATGAGCAGTCTTTGGAAAGATTTGAGCTTAACGGAGGTTTGAACGTCTTGTAAATGTAGAAAATTTGGATTTTTTAAGAGGACAGCATCCTGTTTCTTTGTGGTTTTCAGCCTGTCAATATTTTCAATGCTTTCAAATGACGTGCTTTATTTCCTTTTAATCTAGCTCATTTGTGGTTGAACGACAGCCATGCATGCCAACCCATCCCCAGAGACCGATGGTACTTAAAACTCTTATTCAGTTCACTGTAAAGCTAAGGTAGGCAGAATGTGCTCTATCTTTTCCTTTGTTTGTAGAGCCATAGCCACTGTTTAAATAAGACGAATTTCTATCCTAGGGCCTTTCATTCAACTCTTCTGTCTTAAGCGCCTCCTGCATGCCCAGCACTGAGCTATAGTAGATACCCTCAGAAATGTTCATATGACGGCCCTGCTTGTCAAGCATATGACAGTAAAGATGAAGACACGAGGGATATTAGCAGGAAAGGATGGACTCACAGTATCGGACATCATGGGATCAATTGCTGAAACGATTAACTTGGGAGAAGACTAGAGAGTCTGGAGAAGTCTTGTGGTCCTTTTGAGGAAGGACCTTGTGGGAGGAGCAGAGAGGGGAGGGAAAGTGGGATGGTAGGAGAGCGAGACTACGGAAAGAATGACTTCCCGGGTCTGGTTTGCAAGTAAGTGAAGCAAGGAGAGGTAGAATTGAATAGATTGGGGACAGAATGTGGAAGGCTTTGAATATCTTACCCAGAAAATAACTGGCACATTCTTCCCCTATGATTGCCGAGCAAATAGCTTATAGGATTTTCCATGGAAACTCTCAACAGTGTAATTTTCAATATCTCCTTACTATGTACCGGATTTAAAGACATATGGCTTTTGTGTTATTGTTGCTCTGTCTGTGCGTTTGATCCTTTCCATTAGCACGAGTAACCAAAACGTATCGTTTTCCCTAATGACACTTAAAATCATGAATTTGAGCTTGAAATTTCAAAGATTTTCATCATGCATCAATCCCTAAGGCCCCCAAGCCTTAAATTCCTAATGAAGTTACCTCTGACTGGGACAAGAGGTGAAGATGCCATGGTAGATACTGATTTAGGGCCCCATGATGGGTTTTCTGATCCCATATCACTATCAGAATTGTATTTTTATTTTGTTTTATTCATTTCCATTTTATTGAGATGTAATTGACATACAGCAGCACTGTAGAAGTTTAAGCCGTACAGCATGATGACTTGGCTTACATAAACTGCAAAATGATTACTATAAAAAGTTTAGTTAACATCTGTCACCTCAGAACTCCATTTTTAAAGGGGTGGCATTTTCTTCAGTGTGCATTTTAAATACCTTACGTGAAATTCTTAATTGTTTCCTTTGCGTGAATTTTTCAGCAAGACTTAAAAACCAGGAACAAAAGCCAGAGACCAGGTTCTCTTAAAAATGTCATGATTTTCAAGAGTTGTTCATTCTTCATCCCCACATCTCTACATAACCCAGAAGAGAGTAACACTAAACGGTAGAGGGGTAATGGGCATCCTACTTTTCCTTGAGGAACCCCCATAGATGATATGATAAGTCTAAGATGCTCCTTGGGACAAAAAGAGAGATGAGTAGAGATGGCTCAGCTAAGAATTCCAAGTGGAAGAGGCCCCCAAATGGGCATCACCTTGCCTGTTGTTTGAACCGATGACTGGGACACTGACCGTTAATTAGTCCCTGATTTGAGTGTTCCTGCTTTTCTCTTCCACGTGTCAGTTGGGTCCCTGTCCTTCTTCTCTGGGCCCTGATCTCCACTGTCTTGATAGATGATCGTTTACTTAGTATTCAAGATTTTCCCTAAAACTCCTCCCTACCATAGCATCTCCTGTTTCAAAGGAAGGGGTGATATGGAACTCCCTTTAGTCATCAGCATCTTCCAGTGAATCAGATCCTGATCTATGATCCTTCCTACCCTATTTCACATGACCTCCTCACCCCTCACTGCTAACAACTACACACATCACATTCTGAACCCTAAAACCAATCCGGTGCTTCACACAGGATTTATAAGGAACCTCTGTCACATTCTACCCACACTTTTGTCTGGGCTATCATCTATGATTATATTTCTCTAATGCCCATCCATTTCTTATCACCATTCTCCATATTCCATCTACTATATTTAGCTGGACTTCTTCCTTTTACGTGTAGCCATGTCCACACTTCTCCCTTCCCCACACTTCACTACACCAGCTCCCTAGTACCTAGGGCTGTACTGGGGGGAGATGAGGAGCTCAGTACATGCTGAGTGAATGAATGAGGTTTGGAATGAGTGCATGACTGGGATGAGTGAGTGAGTGATTAAATTAACATTTCTGAAACTGGACTGAACCCACAGAGAAGGTATATCAGAGGTTCCAACTTGAAGGAGTTGGGGAAAGCAAAAGAATAAAGGAGGAGCTGACACCAGAAGAAGAAATTAAAGGAATTGTTTCTCTGATGTTTAACCACTTGTTTGTTTGGAATTAGATCTTTTCTAGTTATGAACATTTTTGCTGTTACTTTCATAAGTGTATTTAAAGATTGCAAATGCACTTGAATTGGAATTTTTCACATTCCGTCAGAGGCCTGGTCTTTCTCGGTATTCCTAACCATAAAACAGTGATCATCAAGACATTTAGTTTTTCTCTTACAATTTTTGTTATGGTATGAGAATAAAGTGGGGCCATATGAATAAACTTGCAAAGAATTTTTCTTATATTTATACATTTAACCCAAATGTGGGCTTTAGCCAAAATATATAGCTATTTTTCTCACCTAGCCAATGTATTATCTAATGCCCATCAGCTGAAAATACTTTCCAAATGTTTGTCAATACGATATTAAGTGCTTGTGTCAACATCAGTAACATGACAAACTAAAGAAGAATTGGACATCTTCATTTTTAATTATTTTTATTTTAATTCCAGCACAGTTAGTATATGGTGTTATATTAGTTTCGGGTGTGCAGTATAGTGATTCAACAATAAGTTGGATATTTTTAAAATACACTAACATGTAACTAGAGATAACCTAAATTTGATTTATATATATGACATAAATATATTTAAATATAAAAAGGCTCTTGGCACTTTTCATTTTTGCCTCTGATTCTTTATTTATGTGTCTTTCCAGACTACTAATAAAATTGCCAGAACTAAACTATCAGGTAAAGGTGAAAGCATCAATTGACAAGTAAGTTTCTATTCACATTTTAAAATTTCCTCATTTTATAGAATAATTTCAAACTTTTAAATGTATTTCTCTAACATTATATATCAATGTACTTTAAATATTTGACTTTGAAGTTCAAACATTTAATAGAACTCCAATGAAGACTTACTTTAAAAAATTTTACTATTAAGTCTTGAAATGAAAATTTATGACTATATTATACTATCCTCTAAAGTATCAAAGAAAGTTTTTACTAGCTCTATAAAATAGCTCATTTTAAGGAATTTTCTTGGTTTTACAGGAACGTTTCAACTCTAAGGTAAGAAATTTATTTTAGAATGTTTTTGCTGTTCTCATAAATATATTTTATCTGAGACCATGTAAATAGCTAAGATTTTCCCTCTAGCAATCGAAGATTTGTCCTTTGTGGAACTCATGTCAAAGCCATGTCCATTGAAGAATCTTCTAACGGGAGTCTCTCGGTAGAATTTCGACATTTGGTGAGTTCAATTACCCAAGCTTCTCCCCCTCCCCTAATCAGATACATCTTCACAAATAGGCCTTATAAATCAATGTATTTTGGGTTTGGGGGGCTTCTTATATGAGATTAAGGGCCATATTGAGAAATAAAACATGCTGTCATTGAAGAATTAAAAATATCAGAAAGAATATGGAATCTTAACTCAGAAGTCTGAGTTCTCAACAATGGTGATATAGTACCTAAATATAGACAGCAATTGGTCAATATATTTTGATAACGATGACAGAGATAATTGGTCTTATAATGGATAGGCATTCCTGATTTTATTTTTTAAATCTCCCCGAGAAATGATATCCAGCAACACATCTGACCAAAGGTGCTTTCATTTTAGGAGTAGCTTGAGGAAGTAGGATGGTTCCTGGGTATGGCAGTTGCATACAGTTTGCTTTGGCATGTCTAGAAAGCTTCTGACCCAGCCTCACCCTGTTGCTTCTTGTTTTTACCACTTCCTCTTAACCTAGAGTTCTCTTCCTGCTTTCTTTCTAATTCTTTGTATAGTTCTTAGATTCCCAAAGACTCTACCACTTTCTTGCCAGATGCAGGTTACTCATGGTTTATTAACACTTAGGAAGTACCTCACCTGAGTGTTGGGGCACCACGAATTAACCTCAACCGGTCTTTTTTAAAAGATAAAATTGAGGTTAATAGATATCTGCACATACAAATTTATGCTGGTTTTTGGTTTTGATTTTGGTTTTGTTTGATCTTTAGTATTGAAGAGTACATTTCTTTTTAACTGAATCCCTCTGGTGTGAGACTGATAAATAAAGTGTAATGATGAGTCATATATTATATATCCTTATAACTAGCGCTCTTTTTGGTTATGTTCAATTTCTATCCTTAAGAAATTTTCAGTAATGGACAATGTTTGCTAATAAGTAAAGCTGTAGGAGAGGGCTTAACTTAGAGATGTCTGTCTCTCAAAAAAGTCATGTGGAAAAGAACAAGGAACACACCAAAAAGTGGTTAGGTCTTTCTTCCAGCAGGTATAATATATAAATTAACAAAACCTTACTTTTTTACAGTCCACTTCTAGTTGCAAAGCATTTTTAAATATATTATCTTTTGCATAACTTTAATTGCTTTTTAATACAAAATTAAATGTAGAACATCAGAGAGGCAAAAATTTAAAAATTAAAAATCACCTGTATCTCACTACCTTGTAACACCATTAACTACTTTGGTTTGCCTTCTTTTATACATACATGTATATGTACTTTTTAAGTGGGATCAGATTGTACACACTATATAAATTGTTGTCTGCCTTTTTTTAAATTAAGTAATCTAGATCCTGAAAATTTTTGTGTCAGTCTCTACTGCCATTTAATCGATTCCTGTGCCATAGTGTGCCATAGGGCACACTATCCCATCGTCTGTTTTCCCAGGCTTCTGTGTTGGACTTGGTTTCACAGGGATTGAGAATCATCACAGCTTAGCTCAGATGCTGCTTTCCAGGTACAAAGGAGTGCTGAGTAGATTTTAAGACATCCCAGCATGATTTCCTCTTTCCAAAATGTTGGCTAAAAAACATAGTCTTAATAGTATGCCAACTTGTTCACTTACCTCAGTGAAAGTTTCTAAAGTGGCGTCCCATGAGATGAAACAGAGAGCTTCTTTCTGTTGAATCCAGGCAACTACCTTAGGTTTCCATGAATTAGAAGACATCTGGGTTACTGTTCTAAAAGGCAAAATTGTGGCCAAGAAAATCACTACAATAGGTATGACCAACTTGATATTTAATTGATAATGCTTCTCCGTCTAAACGCTGTTGTTATTCTTTTTTTGCAAAGCAACCAAAGGAAATGAAGTCCAGTGCTGGAGGCAAAGGAAATGAGGTACAAAATGTTTTCTATAAGATAATTTTTTTAGGGAAATAACCTTATAATCTCGTGTTTTTACAAAACTTTTAAACTGCCCTTGATAGTTTTATAGAAAGTCAAGTTTGTGTTTCTCTGGTTACAAATTAAAGCTTGATAATTGCAGACAGTATAAGAAATTTTGTCTTAAAAAGGAGAAAACAGAAATTGCATATAACACCCTCTTTTTTAAAAGAGTTTATTTATTCATGAGAGACAGAGAGATAGAGAAAGGCAGGCAGAGGGAGAGGGAGAAGCAGGCTCCCCGCCCTCCATGCGGGGCTCGATCCCAGGACCCCAGAATCACGACCGGAGCTGAAGGCAGATGCTTAACTGACTGAGCCACCCAGACGCCGTCATTAAAAGAATAACTAATAACATTTTGGTTCACATCATTCTAGACCTTTATCTATGTATATATTACTTTAAAATATATATGTGCACATTGTTTTATAACCTGCTTTCTTCCTCACATAACAGTGTAAGGTGCACAGCTTTCCATTAACCTTAATGGTTCTCTCTTGGAGAACACTGAAGGTGGCTGTGCTGTATTGCATTTTACAGGTGTGCCATAATGTCTTTAGTCAGTCCTCCACTATTACAAGACACCTGAAAATCACTCATTTTCCACAGAGAAGAGGCAAGTCTCAAACTTCATGACATATGATGTGAAAATCACAGGGGAGAAACAGTCTTATTAATTTATGGGATCAATTACCTTGCCCTTACATGTAAGGTTTGCATTCCACTGGATGAACTGATTAACAGCACACACTGATGTGGTCCAAGTGTTTGCATTTGAGTCAGTAAATGACAGAGCAGTCAAATCCTGGATTGGAAGTGGCCTTGGAGATCACCTGTTTAGTTGGCCTAGATGCTAGGGTGTATGCCTACGCCTTACATATTTGGAATTAGAAAACCTGGGTTTGGGTCCATTCTGACAATGACTGAAAATGTGATCCTTCGCAAATGGAGAAATATTGCATATTTTTCCTCTAACAGATCAGGGTGGTAACGCCCAACGCTCTCCACTCGGAGATGTTATATGTATAAGATCAGCCACACAATGCTGTTATAAAGCAGTGAGGCTTATTTCTGGTGTGGCTGGTATGGGTTCAGTCTCCTAGCTTTAGAGTCACATCTTCTAAGAGAAATCGCTTTGAGTTATTTGGAAGGAAAAAGCACTTTATAAATCCAGCATTCAACTGCAATCAGTCTAGCCCTCCCCATAAAACCACAGAGATTGACCACAGCAGGTTTAATGCTCCACATTTTCCCTTCCAAGAATTCTTCATTCCCTTAATTGTGTCTTAAAGAGCATTTGCCCAATATCACAGCCACAGGGAAGATGAGCTCAGCCTTCCTCCCAGGGTAGGACCTTGGCTTAGGGCAGAGCGGCAAACAGGCCTCTGTAGCCCACTGTCACAGAGGCCAAGCTTTTGAGTTTAATGAGATTCTAGTAAACCAGATAAGTAGGAGTTATTGTTCCCACCTCATAGAAATCCATAAAGATTTTCCAAACTTCCTAATTGAAACATTAGCACATTATAAATAAAAAGTCATTTCATGCATCTCACTGGAATTTTGGCCAGAGTTGCAAACATTTCATGCAGCGTCACATCCCTGAGCAGTATTTGCTAAGTCTGAATAGACTAAATACAATGCTTCTGAACGTTTCTTAAGTAAAATAGATCAAATGGGAATAAATCTAAATAGCTCAACTCCAATACATTGTCATCTTTATAAATGTAAAGTCAAAGTCTTGGGTTTACCTAGAGAAGAAATCTACGAAAAATCATCTTCTACTATATAATAACCAAGCAATGTCTTATTAACACTGTCTACGTGTATTACTTTAAATGTATTTCCTCTTATTTCCTGATTAATAACAAAATGGTGCTGTCATGCCAGAATGATTTTATTCTTCCTTTTTTTCCCCAAGTTTGCTAGCTCAGTTTTATTTTAAGCTATTCCTTGAGCTCCCCCTGTTGATAGAATTGTAATATGACACCTAGGTACATTTAAAACACACCAGACCGGAAAGTTGTTTCATGTGCTACAGGAACTACTGAAAAGTCACAAAACATATGAAGTGGGCTCAGAAAGATGAGCAAAGGAATCAGGGGTTTGGCCAGGCAGTAGGAGCAATCAAACAAAATCAGGAAAAAGCTTGGGGAAGATCTAGCAATAAAGTGGAGTTCATAAAGTCAATAGGGCCAGAGATGGTAGTAACCAAAGTGTCAGGAAAACAGGAGGCTAGGAGGGACGCCTGGGTGGCTTAGTCATTAAACACCTGCCTTCCGCTCAGGTCATGATCCCAGGGTCCTGGGATCGAATCCTGCATCAGGCTCCCTGCTCAACAGGAGGCCTGCTTTTCCCTCTGTCTGCCCTCCCCCGACTTGTGCTCACTCTCTCTCTCTTTCTCTCTCTCTCTGACAAATAAATAAGTAAAATCTTAAAAAAAAAAAAAAACCAGGAGGCTAGGATATGATACCTCATTCTCAGATTTCAAATAGTAGTTGTTGCTTATCTGTGAGCATCCGCGGCAGGAGTTCACAGCCAGATAAGAATGTACTTAACAAATCCTCCTGTGTCATTTACTATATACTGGGCCCTGAGAGCTTCACTGACCTTCATTTATATAATTCTTGTGACAATGCTATGAAGTAGTTACTATTAGTGTACTTATTTCAGGTAGGGAAACTGAGGCACAGAGTGGTCAGGCCAAGATTCAAACCATGGTAGTCTGGCTCCCCTGTCCATGCTCTTGGCCACTATGCCATGCTGCGTCTGGGATCCTAAAGCCTGCGCTGGGAGAAGCGGCACTGACCTCCTCCGGCCCGTCGCCTCAGTGCGCTCCCTCCATTTGTTGGGATTCCTAGAAGGGAGGTCTTTGCGACAGTGTGAGTAGCATCTCATCCTTTCCCCTGTACTCTGGCTGCTGTTCTTACTGTTCTCATTTTGCCCGCCCACTCAGAGATCCCATAGCTATCTCACACCAGAAGCCTTATAAAGTTTAGAAGAAATTTAGAATAATGCTTTCTCAGGAAATGTTGTTGACCTCTCCCTTACTCCTCTCCCTCTCCTCCACTCATCAGTTGGGGATTGGAAATAGCACCATGCTGGGGGCTGCCTCCTACAGGCAGCTGGCCTTGTGCAAGCCACTTACCCTCACTAACTCCCAATTTCCTTATCTGTGAAATGGGGATCAGGTTGACCTGCACTCACAGGGTTGTTAAGAGGACGAAATGAGATGGTATGTGGTGTGGTTCTTCCTAATCTGCCCTCCAGAGCTGCCCCTTTGTAAAGAGTACCTATTTACATGGGTGGAGAAATATCTGTAAAGATGGTACCTGACTTAGGACAAACAGCTGCTCCTTCTCCTTCTCTACCCACCTGCCAAAGTGCTGGGCTGGGGCTGGTCCCTCTCAAGGGCCCCTGAGCACATCCTTCTCTGGCTCCAGGTCCCTGAGAACTCAAAGCACCATATATGTATGCCCTTTCTATAGGATCACATGTCCTGGGTTCCTACTATCTCCCCACCTGCCCCCCCATCTGATACACACACACACAGGGCCCTTCCGGTCTGCTTTTGTGGTTGTCAGAACTTGGACTGGATACTTACTAAATGACTGAGAACAAACCAAGATATCATGAATGATAGTTCCCTAGGGGCGCCATTCTAAACCTCCCTAGCACCCCATGGCTGACTCACATTATCCACAAAGAGGTGGTCGGTCAAGATGTGCAGGGGTTCCTGGCTGTAGGATTGGATGAAGGGAGGAAATTGCATTGGACCCATACTGTCCCAGAACAACCAAAGTGGTGCCTTAGGAACCATCTCTGGATTGGGGGGGGGTGGGCGTTGGTGAAAGGTAGAGCTCTGGGTCCCCCACCCCTGTTTCAGTCAAGATGGCTCTATTTTATATATTTTACAGATTGGAACCCAGATGGTGAATTTCTTTTCAAGAATATGTTTCAAGGTTAAAAAACATTTGAAAACCATTGGATTTAGACAGTTTCTAAAGCTTTTTTGACTAAGGTTCTATAATCTGCAAAAGTGCAACATAGAGTATGGTCTTTACTTTTTTGTAAAAAAAGGTATTTAATTCTAATGATTTGCTTTGCAATTTTGCAAACCCCCCCGCCCCGGGAAATCAGTCAACGTGCTGTCACAAAATTAAGGTTAGCCACTACTGCCTCTTTCTCCCACCTTCGTTCTTGCCTTGGAAAAGCCACCGCGAAGTCACAGTCCCTTCACCTAGCAAACGGCCAAACTTGGAAGGCATCAGGTGGCTCCTGTAAAACAGACATTCCCAGGAAACAGGCTTTCCCAGAGGTCCTTCTCTGGCAAAAAGCTGGCTAGAGAGTCATTGTTGAAATGTGGAAACTGTTTGAACAGGCGAGCTAGTATTTCAGCCGCTCGAGTTTGCTCTTGGTCAGTGGGCTTTAACTGATAAATGACAGTTCTCACCACAGACTGAGGTGTTGGGTAATTTTGTTTATGTGGTGGAAAGTCATGAAGCACAAAGAAGCTGTTAGTAAAGCCTGGGCAATTTGAGTTTCATCGAACAAAATAGCCAAACAGATGTTCTGTCAAGGGTCACTGTTCTCAAACACAGATAACGCTACTCACGGGCCAACTAGCCCAGGCATTTTTACGGAAAGTTGATTTCCTTCTGAACAATTCAAGTAGTGGCAACACTTTCCAAAAGAGACGTCAATACGAGAATAACACTAAAAATGACTTTTTATGGGACACCCTCCCTGCAGTCCCCTCCATAAACTGGGCTGAGAATAGTTGTTATTCTCCATTTATTTCCTATGATTCTGTGATTAAGGTCTATCTCTCATGTGATTGTACCATTATTTTCCCCTTTATTATTGTTTCGCAGCCTCTAAGCCAGTGCCTAGCACATGATAGGTATTCAACAAATATTCATTAAGTGAATGGATTATTGTTAATTATTTTCTATTCCACATAGTCCTCCCCGTGCTACATTATCATAGATTACGGCTTGTTAAGAGATGAGCAAGGAGGGGTGCCTTGGTGTCTCAGTAGCTTAAGCAACCGACTCTTGACTTCAGCTCAGGTCACGATCTCAGGGTCCTGGGATCCAGCCCTGCTCAGGGCTCCGTGCTCAGCGGCAAGTCTGCTTGTTCCTCTCCCTCTGCTCCTCCCCCCAACTTGTGCACACACTCTCTCTCTTTCTCAAATAAATAAATAAAATCTTTTTTAAAAAAAAGAGGTGAGCAAGGAATTTAGATGAAAATTAGCCTTATCCCAGTCATATCTTCTCAACAGAGGTTTATTTTGAAGTCAAAAGCCATAACTATTTGTTAACATATTCTAGATTTCTAGGGTGTATTATTAGGCATTGAGCAGAGGAAAGAAAAAGAATATGGTGACATCTATACCTACCTTTCATAAGGTTGTGTATCTTTTTTTCCAGGAGCCTGGTCAAGTAGTTCTGCCAGTTTTCCAGTTTCTTAGCAGATTATCCAATGTGTGCTTTTCTTTACAAGTACGACAAAGTCAATCCGTTTACGTTATTCAGTGCCATGTAATAAAAATATCATAAATATGGATATTTTAAATCCATAATCATCTCAGATGATGGCTTTTAAACACAGCCATTAATGGTGCATCTTTTTTTTAAAAAACTGGTTTTATTTTATTTTTTTTTAAAGATTTTATTTATTTGACAGAGAGAGATAGCGAGAGCAGGAACACAAGCAGGGGGAGTGGGAGAGGGAGAAGCAGGCTTCCCAGGGAGCAGGGAGCCCGATGTGGGACTCGATCCCAGGAACCCGGGATCACGACCTGAGCCGAAGGCAGACGCCCAACGACTGAGCCACCCAGAAGCCCATTAATGGTGCATCTTATCTATGATGTTTTCCCCAGTCTACAAAGAATGGATCCTGGGAATGGGAAATTGAATTGTCCCTGGCTGGGACTATGCTGATAATAAAGACCATGACCGATGACCACGTGAGCTTTGAAAGTTAATAATGCTTCCTTTTGTCAGAGCTGCTTTTCTCCAGGCATGTGTATTATATGTCAGCTTCCTTGCTGGATCTCATTCTAAATGTGCCTCACAACTGCATCAGGGGTTTTAAGTAATCATTAAATATTAGTTTGAGGGGTGCCTGGGTGGCTCAGTTGGTTAAGTGTCCAACTTCAACTTAGGTCATGATCTTAGGGTCCTGGGATTGAGCCCCACATTGGGTCCGCACTCAGTGGGGAGTCTGCTTGAAGATTCTCTCCCTCTGCCCCTTCCCCTGCTCTCTCTCTCAAATAAATAAATAATCTTAAAAATAAAAAAGAAATTAGTGTGAATCACTGAGGAAACTTCTCCCCATCCACATTCCAGTTTAATAAAGTGATAACTAAAGCATGTAGTCTTTTTTCAAAGTTAATGGACAACTCTGAGTGTCATTGCTCTGTCTATGGAGTCCTGGTTTCTCACACTTTGGATGGTGAACACACAAGGTGCCCTAACACAAAGATCTGAGGAAATTATCCATAATGAATAATTATATCATATGTGCATTTAATTGTATAAATTAAACTATAGAGGCTAGTATGGGGGAGGGATGGTATCTCATACTCAAAAAGACTCCCTTTAGCCGTCCTCCAGCAGTGGCTCTCCCTACAGAGAAAGATGTCTGTGGGTCCAAGGCAGTGCGCTTTCCCAGAGTCCCAAGCGCAGACAGCACCATCAGTGCAAAGATTTCTAGGCACAAGCAGAAGCCTCTGGGGCACAGTGGTCAGTGAGGCCCCTCACAGAGGTGGAAGAGAGGGGTGTAGGCAATAGTCCAGAATGGCCCTGCTCTCTCCAGGCCACCATGTTCCAGTGGAACTTTGAGGAGTTAAAACCTGGCCAGTCAGGTCATATGAAAGCTTAGATGTCAAGGCAGGAGGCTATATCATATTTTAACAGTTTGTTAACTTGATTTATAATAGTTAAATGTTTAGACATGTGGTATGTGGGTCTCCGTCTGTGTGCTTGCCTCAGGCCTCATAAATGTTCTACATAGGCTTGTATCATCCTGTCCACTATTGAACTTAGTGAGAATGTGAAAGGCATCCGTTAGTGAACATGAAGTTATGGATTCTTCATTTGTCTCAGGGTTTGCATAGTGGAAGCACCCTATGGGGCAGTGAGATTTTCTATTTAAAAAATGTGGGTTTTGTTCAACTTGGTGCCTAAATACAAGCTGACTACTTCACCTCATGCTCAACTGAGGAGACAGCAATTTATTTCAACATGGGAAGGGCTCGGGGGGAGGGGCGCTGGCTGTTTCGTGAGTTGGATATACTGGGAGTAATTTTAGGGATGGTCTAAGGGAATTCCAAGAAAAGTTCCATTAGCATAACTTTCTACTAACCCAGTAAGAAGCCATCCCACTCTAGTAACTCTGGCTACCTCAAGTCAATGTAAGGTACCAGCAGTGATCTAACCCAAGGGAGAGAGGAGTCTTTAATTCTCTACTTCCTTCTCAGTAACAAATCCTAAGTTTAATATCCCTCATTGTCAATAAAGTCTTCCTCATGCAATTGTCATTCATATCATCATATTAGAACTATTTTTATCGTTTGAAATTTATTACAAGTAGATTCCAACTTGTTATTAATACATATCCAATATTAGATCATTTCTCCCAGCACTGACTCTGCCACCCCCAATGCCACCCTGACTTTTCTAGTCTCAGTAATTCCTCTTCCGTTTACAGGTTCCCACAGGGTTTATTTTTTTAACATTGTCTAAACCTTCAGGGTGCCTGGGTAGCTCAGTTGGTTAAGTGTCCGGCTCCTGATTTCAGGTCTTGATCTCAGGGTTGTGAGTTCCAACCCCATGTTGGGCTCTCTGCTGGGCATAGAGACTACTTAAAAATATAAATAAATTAAATAAATAAATAAATAAATAAATAAATAAATAAATAAATAAATAAAATTGTTTAATCCTTCTACATCATCTCCAAATTTTCCACATCTCTTTTAAAACTAAACACAATGTGGATATAGCACACTGACATTCATTGTCTCACAAATTCCACCCAAAGTTCTTGTTAAAATGCAGACTCTGATTCTTGGCCTGGGATGAGGCCAGAGATCTTGTATTTCTAACCAGCTTTTAGATGTTGACAATGCTGCTGGTTCTGGGCACATAGCAAGATGCTGTAAGATTTTATTAGGGAAAAACAGCAATTTCTGTCCCACTCCTTCCCACAACAAACCTACTTTCCAGAGGTGATCATTTTTGCATCAAAGTATTATGCTAATATCGTACTAATATTTCTTGATTTTTAAAAAAGTTTATACATTTAACTCCTGAATCCTTTTTTTTTTTTTTTTAAGATTTATTTGACACACAGAGAGAGGGAGAGCACAAGCAGGGGGAGAAGCAGAGGGAGAGGGAGAAGCAGTCTTCCCGCGGAGCAGGGAGCCCGACGTGGGGCTCGATCCCAGGACCCTGGGACCATGACCTGAGCCGAAGGCAGACGCTTAATGACTGAGCCACCCAGGCGCCCCCTGAATTCTTTTTATAAGAGATTAAACTGTTTCTCTTTTATACCAGCTCTCTATACATATAAATTTTCCCCATCTTCACAGTATCATTACAGAACATATTTTGGTTTAGTCAGTATTTTCAGTGTTAACATTAGTATAAATATATAAAAATTATTAACAGCTGAACCATATATCATAGTATAATTGCATTTCCCTTCTTGTATTACTTCCAATTTACCCTGGATTTATAAGTTGCCTTAATTTCATTTTATTTGATCAGTTTATTTTATGTACTTATCACTAATGTAGCCCAAAACTTTTCTTCAAAACTTGAAACTTTCTTCTTTCTTTTTAATAAGATTTTTTAAAGAGATTTATTTATTCATTTATTTGAGAGAGAGAGCACAGCAAAGGGAGGAACAGAGGGAGAGGGACAAGCAGACCGCTGAGCACGGAGCCTGATGTGGGGCTTGAACTCACAGCTCCAAGATCATGACCTGAGCAGAAACTAAGAGTCAGACGCTTAACTGACTGTGCCACCCAGGCACCCTGAAACTTGAAAACATCTTGCAATATGGTCAAACAGGTCAATCTGAGTTTTGTTTTGTTTCTTTTTTCTTGGCAACATCGCCCTAGGAACTTTCCATCTCTTTCTCTAATTTGGACTGATTGCCCTCTGATTCTGTTGTACAATTTTTTTTTTTTTGGTTCTTAAAAAAACTTCCTTTCACTTTTTAAACAAATTCATTATGACACTGACTTGTTTCTGTTATACCTATAAACATATGCATTGCTTTTATTAATAGTTTGTAAGCCACAAGGACGAATTTTTTTAAAATTAAAAGAATTATTTGTCTGCATTTAAACTGATGAAAATATGCTGGAAGTTTTAAAAAGTCAAAAATTACTTTGTTAGGGAGACTTAAAATCATTCTGTTTGTGGAAATAAGATTTCTCACTCTGTATGTACTCTAAATAACTTTTTTTAAATAATAAGAGGGAAAGTTCCATAATAGGGAATATTTGGGGCATTTACTTTAAGACTTTATTAATTTTTATAGATGCAGGCCTAATAATAGGTAGTAGGAGTGCATTTGTAAGATAACAGTTGATTTCTTTCTTCCTAGGGCTGTCACATGGTAACTGAAGAGCTTCATTCTATAACCTTTGAAACACAGATCTGCCTCTATCGCCTGACCATAGATTTGGAGGTAGGCGTCAATCAGCTATTTACTAATAATATACTCAGTCATTGGCTGGCATTTATAGATGAAAGCTGTCTTGTCTAGGTCTTAGTACATTCCTTATTTATTATTTTTGTTTAGAGTTTTGTTTAGAAAATTCAGTTTAGAAAACCAATATGTCAGATGTTTGTTGGTTCATTTTCTGAGATCTTCTGAGTCATGAATAGTTAGTGGAAAGCCTAAAGAGAAATAAGTATCCTTAAACCATGTCACATAATGATATATTTTCAAAAATTTGACTTGTACATAAAATCCCTCAGAAGGAAAGCTTTTCTAATGTAATGAGTAAAGACAAATGATAGGAACATTAATGATACATTGTTTTGATTCTCTTATAACAGTCACTACTGTACTCATAGAAGGAATAGAGCAATCTTGAGGATTAAATTGAACATGACTGACTATGAGCTCCTTGAAGGCAGGGCATCATGACTTTGTCACTCCATTACCAGTGACTCAGTGCCTGGCCCATAATAGATGCTCAACATAGGTTAGATAAATGAATGAATGGGTGCATGAAGGAACAAACACAGTTTTACACACCCCGAATATGATCTTATTTGTGGGATGTATTGTTTTAGAGTTCTGCTTTTCCTTTTTTATCCTAATAAGTGTAAATATGTAAAAATTTTCCATAAATGCCTTCCTCATCTCTTTTTCCTATACCTCTGTTTCCATGAGCTATTAAGCTGGGTATTTCACTGTCTATAGAAATCTAACCACTGTTATTGAGAAGGGACTAATGTAAGTTGATTGGTTTCGCACACTAGTCTGTGAACGCCTGTTTATTCCATGAGGTTGAAAATGACAGTACGAATACTGCTAAGCTGAGTTCCACAGCAGACCAGGCAGCTCTGTTTCTCATAAAGCTTTGTACTCCAACATTGCTTACCTCTCCATCTTCTGCAGTGAAAATGCCCATGTCTAGTACTGACATTAATTAGATGTCAGATCATAAATTGAATATATTGATCCATTTCAATATAAATTTAAAATTAAATTCTTTATAGTAACTTAGTAAGAGAAGAGTGGCAAAATCAATGCAAGCTCTAATTTGTTGCATTTTGGGCTATATATGATATAAGTATCAATATTTGTATAATGTCAAGGGAAGATACTGGAGAAGCTAACTGACCAAGCACTCTGAAAGGGTTCCTGTTTTTATGGCTTCTTTCATCCCTATACCTTGATTCATAGATGCTCAGAAAGTTCCCTTACCTTCACAAGTCATTTTAGTAACCAGGGCAGTGTCAACACCAGGATTAAAGGAGTAGAGCTGGCTTGAGATAGCCCTGTAGGGGACCGGATCAAGTATCAAATCAGTGCAAGGTGCAACTACCTGTAATAACTGTGCTTTTTTTTTCTCTTTTAAACCAGACCAGCTCATTACCTGTGGTGATGATTTCCAATGTCAGTCAGTTACCTAATGCTTGGGCATCCATCATTTGGTACAATGTGTCAACCAATGATTCCCAGGTAGAGTCTATTCCTATTTCTCCTCCTTTAATTCTATTTGATTTGTCTTATTGTCAAAGAACCCATCTGCATCAAAAGATATATATATGAATTTTGACTATATATTCGTATATCTATATATATGAAATTTGGCATGTCTTTGTGGGTTGTTTTCTTCCAGAACTCCAATATATTTAGTTGCATGAATCCTCTCTCATGTTATATTTAAAATGATATGTTTTGATGTACTTGGACGCTGGGAGAGTTCTGGCTAGCAAAACTGACGGACGGTATTTGTTACTTCTGAGGGCCTGATCAGCTCCCAACTATGTGGGTCACAGAGAGTTCTAGGCCCATCCTGTGGCTCTGTTAATTGGGCTGTGGGGAGACTTCTTGGTCTAGAATTTAACGTCTAACTGCTGTGTTTACCTCCGCAACTACTTCTGGTCACACCTCCACACAGACTTTTCTACAAAGGTAGAAAATTGGTTTCCAAATAAGTGACCTAGAATATCAACCAATCTTGCCCAACTGCCCTCTGACTCTACAAATTTTCAAGTTGATTATAGATTTAATACATTCTAGGCTCAAGTTGGGTTTTAATGCCATCTGCTGGTTATTTGAAACATTGATCAAAAATTGGCCTCAAGTTACAAAGCTAGCGGAAAACAGATGCTCTTCCTAAAAGACAACCAGGGAAGGGAGTGGCAAAAAAGATGAGTCAGCCCTTTGCCTTGTTCCCTCTTACAAAATCTCATTGTGTTGTCCTGGAAACCACCAAGGTCTAGAGAAAATAGGTCAAATATAAATAACATTTCTTCTTAATTCAAAGCAAATATTCACTCTTAAGGAAAGAATTTTTTTTTTTTTACCTTAGGTTCTAGAAATAAGAACAGACATGATGAGTTAGCTCCAAGTGTTCCTTCCCTTTTTTAAAAAATGTGCCCATTAAGGAAACAATATGGTAAATGACTCAGCCCGATGCCTTCTCATCCTCCGGTGCCCTGGCATCTGAAACAGATTAACTCTAGAGAGGAGGCTGCAGAGGGTGCGTGGTGTGTCGCTTCCTCTCAGGCCACACTGAGAGCAGGACCCACTAGAGAACTTATGTGGTCTTTAAAGCCAAGAAGAGCCTACACCTCTGGAATTACATGTCATGCCCCATTAGGAGCTACATATATTCAGAGCTTTTCATTCAACTTCAGGATGGAGGAGGAAAGATAGGTCACTTCTCTGTCCTCTGAGTGCAGCACTGTTGCACTTAGCTTTCTTCAGCATCCCTCTTCTATAAGAAAGCCACCAAAGTTGTCCCACTAACCATCCCAGACTCTGCTCTGCTCCTGGATGAGGAATGTGGGAATGCAGATCATACATAGCTTACAATGGAGATGCACAGCCTACTTACAGATTCTAGCATAACAACAAACTCTGGTTTCTCTTCTTCACTCTCTTCTGCTTCAAAACCCAAGCCGCCAGACCTTGATTAGGTTCTATGCCTTTTGGTCATTTATCCAGACACAATTCTCTGGTTCAGGGGAAACTGTCTCTCTAGAAATTCTTTCTCTCCATTCCTCCCCTTCCTATCTCCCACTCCTTGTTGGATGCTGTATCCTCTTTTATTCCCACCTTCTCAGGTCTCTTGGATTGGTCCCTTTTCTTGCTGCCTGGCGTAGTTCCTGCTTCTCCCTGTACTGCACTACATTACTCAGTTATTCCCCTCTTTAGGACATCTTTCTTGGCTTTCACACCTTCTGCTTTCCAGTAATCTGAGATGAAGTCTTCTTTTTCACTATTGTTGACCCAGTTTCTGGTACAAGCAATCTTGTTTGCAGTTAGTCATACAGAAGATTCTCTTGTCCAGATCAAAAGAAAAAGACTACTCTACTGTTCATAAAATAGGACTCAGGGTAATTATGAATTCACATTGTAGGGTCACCTACTTTAGCCTGAGACTTACCTGATTTGTGCTTTGGGATTCTTTGTTTGGTCAAGGTATAACTTATACTAAGTCATGATAAACTAATTAAATAACTTGATATAGATTTGCTTAAGATTAATGTTATTTCAGAAAGGAATATTTGCCCAATGATTTGTTGGACAGTATTAAGTACTTGTATGATTGATTGATAGTGCATAGTCCAGGGAAAGTTAAGAGGTGCCCAGTGATTCTTTCAAGGATAAGATGGAGCCACATATTCTATTGGACTCAAGGATTAAGGAACTCTTTAGGAAAAGACAAAATCAGTGTCAATTAAAATGCACAACAGAGATGAGACAATATTCTGTATTAACTTAGATTGGCCTAAAGAGTTTGGAATTTTATATACTGAATTATAGTGTGTTCAATGTGATTAATGAATATAATCATCATTACAACTCTATTTCAGAACTTAGTTTTCTTTAATAATCCTCCATCTGCCACTTTGAGTCAACTCCTGGAAGTGATGAGCTGGCAGTTTTCATCCTATGTCGGCCGTGGCCTAAACTCAGATCAACTCAATATGTTAGCAGAGAAGCTTACAGGTGAGAGCGGGTAGATGTAGAAGACTTGCCTCTGTTTGGGGTACGCAAGTGTTTTAAAGAACCAGGTGATATTACTATTATTAATAACAATAATGATAGCCACAATGTATTGAGTGCTCACTGTATTGCCAGGCACAGAGCTAAATGTTCTGTTATCTTTCTTAGGAAAGGATAACTCATTACTCTATCCATTTTATAGATGAGGATACTTAAGTTCAGAGGTTAAGTGACTTGCCATGGCTGCGTGGCTAGTACACAGCAGAGCCAAGACCCAGGCCATGCCTGTCCAGTTCCAAAGCCCCTTCCTTTCCATTCCGCTCTTCAGTCTCCAGGGTGTTTTATGCCATTTCCACTGAGTGTAATGCGAAGCCTTAATGGTGCTTTGACTTTCATATTAATATCACAGTGGTCATTAACCAACTCGCCAACTCGACAGTAGCTGATTCCAGGACCAGGGAATTTAATAGAAATTAAAGGCCACCCAGGCAATACTTAATTGTCCATATCAAGAAAATTTCAGTTTTGACTAACATTTTTAAAGTTTGCAAAATAGACTCGTTGGTACTTCCTGTAGTGACTATAGTGTAAGATTTTCCTAAAAGAATTTCAAAAGATATCTATATTTTGACAAGTCTAAGGTGAACATGTTTAGCACCAAAAAAGAGTTAAGATGGAATTTACGTACAGTTCTAATTAAAGTAGGGCCACAGATGCAGCTGAGCATCAGTAGTGAAATCGTGTGTGATTTGGCAAGTGATGCTGAGTTGCCACTTGGACCTACTATCTGATCAATAGGTATTTAAATAAATCAGATCTTTGGGGAATATTAAAACGTTTAGTTAATGTAAATATGGTTTTTGAACTTATTTAGTTTATAAACTGCAATGGTAGGCATATTTGTTGAGTGAATAAAGTTTTTAAATGTGTAGTATAAATAGCAGCCATATCCTTTCAGATCTTTATCAAATTATCCTTATGAGTATAATTTCCTCAAAACTTTAGACAGAAACTCTTGTACCCTTTCATCACCCTGGGTCAAAGTAGTCAATGCCTCCTTATTGCCTAACAGATCTCAAGTTCATTCTTTTAATAGGAATAATTAGGTCTCCTCGCAATCTGGCCATATCTAACTTAAATAAATTTATTTTATGTTTATTTACCAACATTAGACAGCTCTTGCTGTCTCCTATATAAGCCGTGTTCATGTCCACTATGCTTCATCTTACATTATTCTTACTAGAGTTTAGTTTCCTCCTCCTTCTCCTCTGATAATTTATATCCTACCTATTCATGGAGGCTGGCCCTAGACATTCACCCTCTTTCTAAAGTTATCTTAGATCCATTGAAAAGAGTTTTTCCTTAGAAAATAAATTTCATGATATCTTACATTTTTATTGTTTCTAGCATTAAGTACACTACAAACCTGTAACAGGTGCTTAAGGAATTTTTGAAAGGGGCTGGGTAAAATCTAAATTGAGCACCAAATTGAAAAGTCTAATTGTTTCATAAAAATCTCATTCTTTTCTTTTATTTTAGTCCAGTCTAGCTACAACGATGGTCATCTCACCTGGGCCAAGTTCTGCAAGGTACAAACAGGGGAGCAAGAATATCATTTAGATAATGTTTTTAAGTAGTGCTTCTTTTTAAGCCTCCATATCATAATCTGGGATTTTGAGGATTTCCTGGATGCAGTTATTTTTTTAAAACTCTAAACTATTGTCTTGTTTAAAGGAAATATTTCGGGGCATCCTGGTGGCTCAGTCAGTTGGGCAGCCAACTCTTGGTTTCTGCTCAGGTCATGATCTCAGGGTCCTGGGATAGAGCCCTGCGTCGCATGTATCAGGCTCCCCGCTCAGTGGGGAGTCTGCTTCAGGATTTTCTCTCTCCCTCTGCCCCTCCCCCTTGCCTGCTTTCTCTCTCTCTAAAATAAAGAATTTTTTAAAAAAGTTTAAAGGAAGTATTTCATTGAAAAATGGAACTTGAATTATTGTATCAACATTAATTATTAAAATAATCATTGTCCTGACATGTTTGTTTATTACAATAGGAACACTTACCTGGTAAATCATTTACCTTTTGGACATGGCTTGAAGCAATATTGGATCTAATTAAGAAACACATTCTTCCTCTTTGGATAGATGGGTGAGTTACAGGCTATATTTTCCACATGAGTTCATTAGGTTCTTATTTTTAAGCTGCTGGGTTTTTTCCTTTCTTTTTTCTTTTTAAGCATGTTTAGTGATAGAGGGGTAGGGAATAGTTCAGTTTCTTATATTCTTCATAGAGTACTGATACTTACTTTAATCTTAGAGGAGTATTTCATTGACTTTTTATTATACTCAGAACAAATTTAGGTCTGTTCTTTGTGAATGAAATAAATACAAATGTAATAAATTACAGTGTTTGATCAGGTAAAACTATGTATTGTTCTATTTTTAGGTATGTCATGGGCTTTGTTAGCAAAGAGAAGGAGCGCCTCTTGCTAAAGGATAAGATGCCTGGAACCTTTTTGTTAAGATTCAGTGAAAGCCACCTTGGAGGAATAACTTTCACCTGGGTAGACCATTCTGAAAATGGTACATGCTTTATACTTGTGAAATTAGTATCTGAGTTCGGTTATTGGTCTTTCAGTTTTCAGAAGTGTGTAGCGTGGTGTTCTGTTTTTCATGTGTCCAGGGGGTTTGAATACAACAATAAAGTTGTCCCAGAAGAGAGGCTCATGACTTTCTCACAGCCTGTGTGGGTGTCCTCTGTCACGTGGCAGTCTGTACCGTCCCCACTGCAGAAAAGGGCTGGCATTGTTTGATAGCCAGTGACGTGAAGATGACGTGGGCAGGAAGAACGGCCCCCAAGAATGCCTGCAGGAACCTAAATGTTCCTCCCTCGACCCACCCTTTCTGTTTTTCCAGGAGAAGTGCGATTCCACTCTGTAGAACCCTACAATAAAGGCCGATTGTCTGCTCTACCGTTCGCCGACATCCTTCGAGACTACAAGGTTATTATGGCTGAAAACATTCCCGAAAACCCTCTGAAGTACCTTTATCCTGACATTCCCAAAGACAAAGCCTTCAGTAAACACTACAGCTCCCAACCCTGTGAAGGTTAGGTCCTTTCCGTTTGCTTGTTTTCCTCAGCTTTTGGCAAATAACCTCATATTGGAGTAAACGAAGTTCCTCTTTTTATGTTTACTTTGATTGTCATAAGACGTAGGGGGTATGTGGAGGTCAAAGCCTTAGAGAGGAAGCAGTGTGTCAACAGTTCCTGAAGAGGGACAGCTGGGCTGTCCAACTCCAGCAGACTAGTTAGTAATTGGTGGCTGTGACCAGACTTCATATGGCCATGTGCCTTCTCCCAGCCGTGCTGACTTCACGTCTATGACTGGGAGAGAGGAAAAGAGGAGGTAATGATTAGAAAGAAAAATTAGGGGAGTCTGTTTTCTGCAAAAGAAGCCTGAGATTTATAAGCTTTATATTTTTTATCTTACTGTAGTCTCACAACTCGGCTTGGGTGGTTTACTTGCCAGGGAGGGGCTAAGGGGGTCAGCGCTTCATTCCCCACCTGCTGGCCTGCCAATAACTAGTCTTGACATGTCTGCCTTTCCTGGTTGTATCCTAAGGGGCCAAAATAACACCTGGCCAAAAGAAGCATTTGGTAAATATTTGTTAAATACATGAAAGAATATAAATAAAATTAGCTCTATAATTGTAATGTAAGTTTACCATTCTGTGTCTCTGATGAAAGTGTATACAATCCATTAAAATGTTCATCTATAGCAACTAAATCTATGAGCACCATCTTGTGGAATAGTCTACAATTGTCACCCACAGACGCTGACTTGCTGCTACCCTGCTGAGTTACTAGAAATCCCCCAATACACAAATCAATCAAATATAATCAAACTTGAACATAACTTTGAAGATAGGTAATATAGTTGCCTCCCACTTTTTCTCATGCATTTTGGAGACAATAATATCTAAAGTCAGATTAGGCCTGCCAAGAGATCTGTTTTTCTCTTCTTGCACATTTTATGTTCACTTAAAATACTGTTTCATCTATTCAACTAAAAATCTTTGTGAGTCACTAAACAATCATAATATCGCTCTTCTTTTTAACATTACTTATATTTATCTAGACTTTTAAAAAAATTATCAATAATATTGATAACATTTTTTCCTGCCTTTCTTTTCCAGTTTCAAGACCAACAGAAAGGGGGGACAAAGGTTATGTTCCATCTGTTTTTATACCCATTTCAACAATGTAAGTAACCTTAGCCACATGTAAAATATCTCTTACTGAATTTATCTTTTTTTTAAAAAAAGCATTTCTACTCGGATAGAGCCGAGAACATATACCTGACAATAAAGCATTTTAATGCTCAATGTCCCATTTGCTTTAGTACATAAAGCTAGTCTTCAGGAAGCACCATAGTCTACCATGACTGGAATTATAAAGTTGCCTTTTTATATGCCGTATATTCCAGAGTACGCTGAATGCTCTGATTTCAAACAATGAATTAGACATCTCAGTGAAACAAATAGAGGAAGCCCTAGAAATGAGTTTCTGACAGAGTGTCACCAGAAGCTATTATTTTTAATCCTTTTCAACATGTGCCTTGTTATCTCTTTAAGCCGAAGTGATTCAACTGAGCCACGTTCTCCATCAGATCTTCTTCCCATGTCTCCAAGCGTATATGCGGTGCTGAGGGAAAACCTGAGTCCCACAACAATTGAAACTGCAGTATGTTCCCTTTCTTTTCCATTGCTGGTCAAGGGCACTCCTAATGAAGCAAATGTGGCACCTGTTAATCAAAGGGGCTGAAGTTCTGCCTGAGAAGTGAGAAAACACTTTTGTTGGACCAAATCCATGAGCATCACACTGGGTGTGTCTGTATGTTCCTGTGGGTCACGGTTACGGGCATTGAAAACAGACACCTTCACTCATTTGAACTGCTTTAAGTTCTTTCCATCAAAAACCATCAAAGGGCAAAATATTCCTCTTCCTCACTCATATACACTTTGTCCCTACTTCTGCCATTGGCTGCACCACTCCCCACCACTCTCCCACCTTAGTAGACAACATATATTAGTCACTATTTATAAACCTAGTTCAATATTTATTTTAGTTCAAGAACCACAAATTCCAATTTTTCTTAATTTTTACTTACATTATTAGTCCTGTCCCAGGAGCTTCTTCAAGTAGTACATGAATTATAGTCAGCAGCATAATACTCCTCCTCTGAGAACTTAATCACAATCTTAAATGCAATAATGTGATTTAGAATGCATCCTATCTATTATTATTCCTCAATACCATCAAGTGATCCAATTTACATTCAGATGAACATAAGAGAAAAATAGAATCATGGAGGGATCCTGAGCCCCAAGAAATTTGATGTTGGGTGTTGGGGAGGAAAATTTTTGCTTTACCTTTAAAGGTTCCTTTGGCTATCAAAGAATTAAATTGACATGAGATGGATTAATAAAAGAAAATCAAATAATTACTAATAAAGTACTAACAGGAGGGCCATAAGAATATGAGGCCCCATAGACAAGCAATTGAGGCTTATATGCCATTGTGAACTAAGGAAAAGGGGCTGGGATCTGGGACTTCAAAGGGATTGAAGACAATTCACAGGAAGATGAACAAGAGTAAATATTTCATAAACAAATGTTTGCTGGGCCATACAGAAACAATGGGGCACAGAGAAGAATTTTAACAAATTTTTTTAAGTTCCTCCCTGTCTACCACACCTAATTCATATTATACTGTAGTTATCTATGGTGATAACTCCCTTCCTGGAGCCAGTTTCTCTAACGAAATTCTTTTAGATAGTTAGGGGGAAGGTCAAAGTTTCTTCCTGAGCTTTTTGTTTCTTAAAAATAATCTGCCTAAAATAATCCACATGCTAAAAAGACACATTTTAGGGTGGCAAATTTTGCTCCTCTGTACGGGTTATAAACCAAGTGAGTTTTAGTCCTCTAAAGATTTCCAGGGATGGGAAAACCCATAGTCTTGTTCCAATGTTAGTTGTCTTAAATCATTTAGTTATAAGAGAACTTTTGCTACATTTTGCATGCATTTCCTCATTACATTTTTGTGGGATGAATTTTGTGAATGCTTACTAGTTAAATGGTAGAAAGACTGTGAAGTATTTAGTAGACAAAAGGGTGTTTACCTAAAAAATGATGACTTATTTGCAAAAACCAATAGTTTCCTCAAAAGTCATTTTCATTTTCCAATTTTAGATGAAGTCTCCATATTCTGCTGAATGACAAGATAAATTCTTGACACTCAAAAGAAGGAAGCAAATGAAAAAGCTTAAAGACTGATCTTTGCCAACAATCCTATCTCATTTCTTCAACTTTGTATATACCAGTTTCCAGGAAATGGTTGAAGTCTGAAGCTCTCCTCTCACTCACCTGACACCACCAACTGGGAATGTCCTGACTGAAATGCTAAAAACCAAAGCTTCAGATAAGCTTGCAAGATAAGACACTTTAAGAAACCAGTGTTAATATAACATTAACAAAAGACTCTTTTGTCTTTGCTTTATTTTTTATTTTGTTTCTCACATGTTACTTACAGTTTTGGCTCTAGAAGGATTAAGTGTTAAGATTTCAGAATAGGTCACGAATGACAGAGTCACACCTACATCACTCAAAGCCCAGCAAGAAGACCTGAGAGAAAAGCCAAATAAGCTAATGTCCTGAGTTCTAGAAGGTAAAAGCCATCACCCTAGATACCAGATAGATCCCTCTGGAGGACCCCTCTCTAACTTCTTCCACCCCTCTTCTGTCCCTGAAGCAAGCCAAACAGAGAGAAGTTAATGTTTAATGGAAAAGATTTCAAAGAGAAAAAGGTTTTAATATAATCTTCTTTCTCAGAGCGATTCCATCTTACCAATTGTATCTTTTATACCCACTCACATGTGCCCAGCTGAATCCTATATTGTTCTTCCAGAGGCAAACTCTGCACCTGTACCAAGGCCAGTTCCCTTATTCCTTTGCAAGCTCCTGATAGTACTCTTTTTTTCAGATTTTATTTATTTGAGAGAGCAAGACGGAGAGAGAGGGAGAAGCAGACCCCCCACTGAGCAGAGAGCCCAATGTGGGGCTCAATGTCAGGACCCTGAGATCATGACCTGAGCCGAAGGCAAGCACTTCACCGACTGAGTCACCCAGGCATCCCTTCCTGTGTCTTTTGGATGGAGGTCAAGGTGTCTGTTGGATGGAGGACCACCAGGCTAACAAGGGGCAGTCTCCCAATCTCCTCCACATGCCCAATTTTCTACAATCTAAATATATCAATTGGCAACAAAAGTAGAGGAAATAATTGTAAACCTGGTTTAAAGTTATATCTTGATTATTTTGAATTATAAAATGATTATTATAGTTTTATCTTTAAAGAGGTAATCTACTATCAGGAAATACTCAAACAATTGGATTTAGAAGCCAAAGAAGGTTGCAGAAGCTTTTCACTCCCTGGAATGTATTAAAAGTATGATGCACTCTTACTCAGCAAAATGTTTAAAAACGTCTCAACATGGAGCCTGGTAGCAGGATGCCAAGGTTTCATATGTGATCTCAACCATCATTATTATTGGAGGACAGACTACAAGGACATCTGTAGTTCGCTCTAACAGACACAGAGGCCATATAGTAAGAAGAGTTCAGTAAGTGGCTATTTGCACTTAGATTCAGAAAATCAAAACCAAGTTCTTGATCGCAGTATAGAGTTACTTCCCAAGAGTGTGAGTCTTGCATTCTAGAAATCATCTTTGTGAGAGTAAGGGGATTTTGTCAGAGGATTCCTGGAGATACCTGTTTAGTTGAGGCTAAGGTGTGCCACATGAGATGAAGTACAGTGAATGGGAAGGGCATTTAGATCACCAAATTTCCACTGAATGCCCCCCCCCCCGCGGAATATTTTTTTTCTTACAACTGGCAGCAAATAAGTAGCATTTAATGAAATAAAATGTAGATTTATTTTTTAAATATTAATCACATTTTTACTCCTCCCCTCACCCATCCCAGACCAATCACAGATGTCCATTTTACTAATCCCTTGTCAAATTCTTTTTCACAAAGACTCACTTTGACCCAACTGTACTGAATATCAGTGCCTTTATCTGGAATAAATGTTCAAAGAAGGCAGCTTCCAGTGGACTTCCTCAAAGTCTTAAGGCAGCAAGGAAGCCCCCCCAAAACCCATAAGGAATGAGTATGCTTCTGGCAAACCCAAGGGATTTTTCTGTACCTCACATGTTCAGGAGGCCCAAGAGCTCCCTGCAGAAGGAACAGAATTAAAGGTCAATTACTGCTATACTCTAGTAGCTAACTGTAGTCCAGACTTAGCAAAGTGCCTCTGTGCACACACTCCAATTTCTGACAAATAATTTTCTTCTTTTTTCAAATTGACCATGAGCATTGATTGACTTGACGGCTTGCACTTTATTTAAAGATTTATTTATTTAAGAGAGAGAGAGAGTGTGTGCATGAATGGAGAAGGGGCAGAGGGAGAGAAGCATCAAGCAGACTCCCCACCGAGTATGGCTCCATCCCAGGACCCGGGAGATCATGACCTGACCCGAAACCAAAAGTCGGCCACTTAACTGACTGAACCACCCAGGCGCCCCTGACTGCTTATATTTTTTAAAGTCTGGCTAGAGGAAGTATAATATACACATAATAAAATTCACCCTTTTCTGACAAACCCATACAGTTGTGTAACCACCACTGTAAGACATAGAACATTTCCACCAGAGTCCTCAAAGAGGACACTACAAAAACATGATGAAGGACATGCTCTGCAACATACCTACAGTAAATACAACAAACAATTCTATGTGGCTTCTTACATAGACAGAGGGCTCTATTTTAAATAAATCACATCATTTTACCCCCTGCTTATAATTTTCATATGGCTTCTGGTGCTCTGGATTAGCAGTTCTTACCTGGCGTGTATGGATAGAAGTCTGGAGGTTGATGAGTTTGGATGGCAAACATCAGTCTATTTTCACAGACTTCTAATTGAAACTTAGAATTTCTTTCAATTAGGAATAAAGGCAACAAACCGTGACCCACACATTTTTGTCACATTACAGTTGTTACAATTATCTCAAACTACTACTTATGCTAAGCACAATTTTTGAAATTGCATTCGTCAGACTTGCTGCTAGATTTTATTTAATGCCATTAACGAAGAGGCACTTACATCACTATGTCACAAAGTTGGTTTCAATATTTTGATATCTGCATTTCAATGTAGTTGGTTTTCTATTTAATCTCATGTATTTTATTTTATTCAACTAAAAGCATTACTTTTTGGAGTTCATAGGTTTCATCAGATTGTCGAAGGGGCCCATGGCACAAAATTTAAGAATCCCAGCACTGGATGATGACCATAGTTCTCAACAGATCTTTCCAAGTCATACATTATTTAGTCCCTTCCTAGTCTTCAACTCATATCTCATCATTTCCCCCAACAACGGCTTCTCACCCTGCAAAACATACACACACAAGACTGAACTACTTTCAGTTTCTTTGATGCCCCAGGTTCCCCGCCCCCCTTCCCTCCACTGCATCTTCTCAATTCTACAACCCCATCCTATCCACCCTGCCCCCTGCATAACGTTCACACATCCTTCAGGTTCTAGAAAACTTTCTGCCGCCCCCCGCCCCGGGAACACCTGTATGACTCAGGTCTCTTCACGCCCCCTCCAGGTGCTCTAGATGCCCCAGCACCATTCCTACCACCTTTGTTGTAAAGGCATATCAGCTGTCTTCTTCATTAGACTCTAAGAGGGCTCTGTACATACAGGGACCAAGAAGGCTTTGTTCACATCTCTAGCCCTAAAATCTAGCACAGTCTGCCCCTTAAGAAGTATTTGTTAGTGATTTAATTTTTGAGCACATAGAGGACAGTAATTTAAAAAGTTAATGGGCACCCGCCTCCCCGCCTTTCATCTTGTCCTGGGCCACTACTCTTCAGACTTAGCCAGCTAGAAGGACGCAGAGCAGGTATCGACCGTCCCAGGGTAGCAGGGTAGCGTGCGCATCCCGCCTCCAAGCTCCAACCCCTCCAACCCCCCCAACCCCCCCCACCTCACCCCACCTCACCCCCCCCACACCCCCCCAGGAGGCTTGGGAGGCGGGGGCCGCTGAGCCGGCGGCCAGTCGCTGGAAAATCCCCGGGCCCGCGCCTGCGTAATGCTCCCCGAGTCAATTTACTTTCGCTTTTCGGTTTCCTCCCAACTCTGTTCCTTCTCGCTCCAGGGCCGTTTCCCCGAAAGCACGTGGGACGGCTCTTCCGAGCAGTAGCGTCCCTCCCGCCGCACGCTGACGGGGCTGCTTTGGAACAGTTTCAAACAGCCGAGGACTTGCGCCTCCCAACGTTCCGCATCCTGGGCAGGCAGGGCTTGCTGTGCAGAGACCACGGGACTACAACAGGCCTTCGCAAGGGTGTTTGGACTCTGAATTGAAGTGTGCTCAGTATAGACATTTGTGAAAAAAAAGAAAAAGAAAATTATATAGCAACCCACCACCCAGAAACTTTAATATTTTCAAATATTTTCCCTCCGTCCCTCCCTCTTTCCCTTTCTCTCTGAGTGTTCCATGTATTTACATTTCTGTATATTCTTACAGTAATAGGATAATGTTTTCTTTCCTGCATGTTAATTTAATTTTATACGTGGATATTTTCCAATAACCAATCTTCAAAAGCATAACTTTCATATTCTAGCATATGAATATAAAAAATCCAGAGAACTACGGAGAATTTTAGAAATTCTTAATTTTAATCCCGTTGTATTAACAGATTAGCAAACATGGCTTACACTGATTAAGTGTAATTCTTACTATTGGATATAAGTTACCAACATTGCTACAATATTGGAAAAATTTGTAGCTGCCATTTTGAAACAGACCAAGGCCATCAAGACAGAACACGGAGTAAGTTTTTCCCGGGTGTGTTCCTAAGAACACAACAGAGTGTACTGCGGGGGACTGAGAGACCCCAGGGAAAATATTCGTGGTGGGGGCAGGGCAATGGTCCTGCAGGATGGGAGAAATTCCATTTTACAATTCAGTAGTAGGATGCTTTGCTTTCCTCCAGAAGGTCTGTATCAGTGATCTATTGCTACACAACAAACTAAACTCTCCTCAAAACTCAGTGGGGATAAAACAATAAGCATTTATCATTGCCTGTGAGTCTATGGTAGACTGAGCAGTTCTGCTCATCTGGGTCAGGTCTCTGATCTTGCTGTCTCACAGGAATGAGGCCTAAGCCCTGAGAGCGGCACTATTCAGTTGTGTTCTGTGTGTTCTCTTATGCTGCCGCAGGCTAGGCTGACTTGCCTCGGAGGCAGGGCAGGGTTTGTGGAGGGGAGTATTACAAGGCCCCTTGAGGTCTAGGCTCAGAATGGCACAACATTACATCTGCTGCATAATGTTGTTCAAGGCAAGTCTCAAGCCAGACCAGATTGAAGGGGTGGGAAAATAGTCCCCACCTGTTGCTAAAAGGAGCTACAGAGTCACATTGCAAAAGTGAGTAAATACAAGGAAGAAATAATGTGGCCGTTATTAAAAACAATCTACTAGGAGATCCCAATTTCTTCTAATGAGAATTATAGAACTGATAATATCTATCTTTTTGCCTTGGTTTGTAAGCTGCATTGTATTCTTCATATGTATATTTGTAGTTATTGTATATATAATTAAATAAATTACATAAATACAACCGAGTGGAAATCAAAGTAAGGATGAATGAAGAATAGGAATGATACTGTCTTCTCAATGACTTCTCCTAAATAAATAAATAAATAAATAAATTTGCTTCAAATAGGAGATGCAGAGAATCTTTCCACTATAACATCATGTGAATTTATGAGTTACTCCAGTGCTCTTAATTACTCACCATAAAATGTGGTTTCTAGACTCCTCACCATCCTTGACTCTCCTTTAAATAAACACCAGATGGGGTGTGCCAAGTAGTAAGTTTCATCTTACCTGCCATTTCTGATTGATTGCTAGTGAGTTACCAGATACAGTGTTGAAAAGTATTCCCAAGCTGGGCACTGGCAGCAAAGAGTACCCTGTCATCTGTTGCCTTTTAAAAACAAAAACAAAAAACCCAAATACAGGTCTTTGCATTTACTGTGTTAAGTTTTATCTAGTTGGTTTCAGCACAGCAACATTCTACCCTAATATACTTTAGACTTCTGATTCTGTCATCTGTGAATTAGCTATTTCAGCAGGGGGAGAAAAAATCTCAGGGCCTTCCAACATTGACCACAAACAAACACCTCTTACTCATGGGTGTGTGGGTAGGTAGGCTGCAGCAATTCTGCCCTGGGTGGTAGGTTTGGGGGGGCTGCTCCACAGATCTCTGCGTCTAGGACTCAGGCTGGAGGAGCTGGGGCTGCTTGAGTCTGCCATCTTCTAGTGTGAAGAAGGAACACAGGAGGACAAGTGGATCATACAGAACATTCAAAGTCTCAAGTTGGTTATACCTGAGTGTACCTCACATCTGTTCTATTCCATGTTGGGCCAGAGTGAACCAGGGAAAGGAGTGGGAAGGGAAAGAAACAAATGGAAAAATAATACAATCTACCAAACATGGTATTAGCTATTTTTTCCAGATTTGTGTCTTTTGCAAAGCTGACATTGTTGGTATAGAGACACAGTTTCCTAAGCTGGCTGTTCTAAGGGGGGCTTTACACAGTGGGTTTTTCACTTCTGGATCTCTTTTGTTCGGTTTTCGTTTTTTATTGGGTTGCTTTTTCAGCAGTCAGTATGTTAGTCACACTTTAAAAATACATAAGCTTGCCCTCCTGGAACTTAGAATCTTGGAGGGAATAAGGCTTAGACACTTCAAAAACCATAATATAGGGGTGCCTGGGTGGCTCAGTTGGTTAAGCGACTGCCTTCGCCTCAGGTCATGATCCTGGAGTCCCGGAATCGAGTCCCACATCGGGCTCCCTGCTCAAAAACCATAATATAGGGAGTGTGTGGTGCTTGTTGACATAAATGGAGACACTTATGCATCATATTATTTCAGAGACAAGGTTAATCGCCACAGGATGAGGTGGTTCCAGAAGGAGAATATAGAATTTGGACTTAGTTTTAAAAGTTGGGTCAGGATTTGATAAATAAAGTGAGTAAGGGGCAGGACATACCGTTTAGTATGTGCAATAATTGCCAATGGTATGAGCAAAGGGACCGAACAGGAAAATTAAAAGCCTGGGGATGGGGGGGAAATTAAAGATAGAGCTTAGTTGGGTAATGGGACAATGGGAGACAAGGCTGGGAAGAAAGGTAATGACATTCTGTGGAGGATCCAGACTAGCAGACAGAGTTTGTTTTTACCGTAAATGCAATGAGAGTTGTCAAGGCTCTTGAGCAGGGACTGAGTGTATCAATGTGGTTAAAGTTTTAGAGAAATTAATTTGGCAAATACAGTGGAGAGGAAAGGGATGGAAGAAGGTAGTCCATCTGGTCTCTATTGTAGCATTCCAGTTCTGAAGTGATGAGAGCTACAGTAGAGTATGGTCAATGATGGTAAAATGAAGGAGGATAAAGACATAGGGAAGGAGGCATCCATAGAACTTGATAACAAGTTCTGACTCTCCCTAGAGTCAGATTTTCTCAAACATTTTCTGGCTCCTTAATGTAGGTGAGTAGGAGGAGAAAGGTATTTTACAGTGGCCTGGTATCTCTTCTTACAGAAGGCAGCTACTTTGGTATGAAGGGTCATTGCTATCACAGATCAGTACTGGCTTTGTAAGGGTGAATATGTGACAAGAAGGAGCATATAGATGTGGGAAGAGAAAACTGTAATAGAAACACATATAAGCATATCTGTGGGAAATTATTTAGATCCCTTTCCTACCGAAGGTTGCCTTATTATTCAAGGCTTGATTCAAGTTCCATCTACTTGAAGGAGCCAATTTATCTTATGGGCATACATTCCAATAAGATCAAATCTAGGCTGGCCTCTGGGATGCCTACCTGGGGGAGTGGCACTTAAGCTGAGTTTTTAGCTAAGACATAAAAGATGAGTTAGCCAGAAAAGAGGTTGGGGAAAGGGGATGTTGCTCCAAGGGGCTTTCCAAATGGAGAACTGCTGGTGAGAAGGTCCTGAGTTTGGGGAAAGGGCTTGGCATATTCAAAAACCAAAAATGCTGAAGTATGGAAAGGAAAGACTGGCACAAGATAGGATTAGAGAAAGAGGGGAACCAAGGCTTTGTAAGCTATATTAAGAAATTTGAATTCTGTGAAAGCCATCATGGGATTTTCAAGTTGGCAAACACATGATCTGCTTTGAAATTAAAACAAAAAAACCACTCCAACTGTCACATGGAGAATGGATTAAAAGGGACTTAAAGGCAGGGTACCTGGCTGCCTTAGTTGGTAGGGCATGCAACTCTTGATCTCAGGAGTGAGTTCAAGCCCCACGTTGCATGTAGAGATTACTTAAAAAAATAAACTTTTGGGGGCACCTGGGTGGCTCAGTCGTTGGGCGTCTGCCTTCGGCTCGGGTCATGATCCCAGGGTGCTGGGATCAAGCCCCACGTCGGGCTCCCTGCTCCGCGGGAGGCCTGCTTCTCCCTCTCCCACTCCCACTCCCCCTGCTTGTGTTCCCTCTCTCGCTGTGTCTCTCTCTGTCAAATAAATAAATAAAATCTTTAAAAAAATAAAAATAAAAATAAACTTTTTAAAAAAGGGGGCAATGAAGAGCTTAAATGAGGCAGCCATTTGGGACTCTACTGCAATAATCCAAATGAGAAAAAAATGGGGATGGTATAAGAGATGGAGAGAAGTTGATGAGACTTGAGGAATATTTAGCAAGAAGAATCAATAAGGCTTGAGGACCAGGTGTGGGGGTTGAGGGAGAAGGCAATATCAAAAATGATATACCTCTGACATATGCCAATTCTAGGGAAAAAAAGGGCAGGTTTGAGGAGAAAGATGATGAGTTGGTTCTGAATATAACTAGTTTGCAGAACTTATCAGACATCCAAGTGGAATGTCAAGTGACGACTATACACTTGCGGGGTGCAGAACATACAGGAGAGGTGTGGACAGGACACACATGTAGAAGCCCTTCACATTTACAAGGAAACCGAAGCTCTGGGTGAGGTCATCATAGGACAGCGTGAGAAATGTGGGTAAAACTGATCAACATCTGGACCCTGACAACCTTTAACGTTGAGAGCAGTTTGGTCGTGGAGTGAAGCACAGATAAAGAAAGAGTGCCGTAGAGGTGAGAAGAAACAAGCAGGATGTTTCATGGACAAGGAAGAAGTATTGAGAAAATGGAGGTGTCAACTGTGCCAAACGTTTCTGAGTGGTCAAGTAAGGTGAGCGCAGAAAAAACGGTCCCCTGGGTTTAGCAACAAGCAGATGAGCTGCTGAATTTAGCTTAGAGAATGACAACGTTCCCACCTCTGTCTTCCGCCTTGGGTTCACAGATACGGGTTTAATGCAAGGTTCTCCAAGTTTGGGCCTCTGCAAACACAGACTTCCTTTTAGTTGTTGTCTATAATGGCTAGAGGTAACCGCCAACCGACCAAGTTGCAACACAGCGCCAAGCTTCACGTCACCCCCCGCGGGGCCCTACTCAAAGCCTAAAGAAGGACTCAGCTGGTTGGCAGTACAGCGGTCCCCGGGGGGGGCGGGAAGCAGCGCCCCAGCGGAACAGCCACGTCCGATTGGCCGCGCGCGGCAGCCGCCCGGTGATTGGTGGAGGCGGAAGGAGGCGGGGCGCCGGGAGCTGTCTTTTCTTCCAGCTGGTACTTTCGTTTTTCTGCACAGAGTCTGCGGGGGACTCTGCCGCACCGGGGAAGACTCCCGTCAGGCCCCAGACCCAGCAGAGGCGAACCGGGTGCGGGAACCCGGGAAAGGCAGCACTGCTGCGCCTCCGCCCGCCGCTGCCCGACCCCGCGCGCAGAGTGAGTGGGCCTGAGTTTCCGGGTGCCGGTGGTGTGGGATGTGCCAGGACCGCGCCGTCGGGGCCTGGCGAGGGCGGGCTTTGCAGGCGAATCGGTCATCCTGGAAAGAATGCGTCCTTAATACTCTAGGTGTCCTTCTTGGTGATGACTCGATTGCCCCTGCTCTAGCAGTAAAGAAGTCTCGTGAAATAGAATTTTCGCCCATAAAACACTACATCTCCCCTTTTACCCCCACTTTTCCTTCCTTCCCACCCACTTTCACCACAGTCACCTTTTCTTCTTTTCACAGAAAAGTTTTCATTTGCTTTGTGCCATCCTTGGAGAGCTGTCTAGGTTAGACGCTCACACCCCGTGCATACAAACTCAGCAGTCTTGGCACCTCACGTGTATAGCTGCGGCTTAGGTTGGATCCTTAGCCCCTCAGTGGGACACAAGGTGACAGGTCAGTACTTGTTCATGAAAACGAATGAATGAGTGCATAATTTTGGAATCTTAATTCTGCATCTATGTTTAAAGATGAAGGAGCTTAATGTCTTCCTGGAATATAAAAGTTCCTGCAAACCCCCAAATGCTATTAGTCTTTTTAAAAAAATTGTGACTAATACTGAAGAGTTTGGGTGATGTGTGTGTGTGTGTGTGTGGTTGACTGTGCTTTGAGTGTTGTTATGTATAGGTTGGAGAGGTTATTTTTATGGGACAGAAATAAGACTCGAGCCTCCAGCACAACCCAGTATGCAACTGCTGCTTAATGAGGATGCAGAACCCAAACTTGGTGGAGCACAGTATGGTTTGCCCTTTACTTTCTAATTCAATGTGAAATATACTAGATTTCAATTCAGTAAACTTAATTGAGTACATACTATGTGCAGGACACTGTGTAATATACCGCAGATGTTTTGGGGTTTTTTGTTTGTTTAAAAAAAAAAAAAAAGACATGGTCTTGGCAACTCTGAAACTTACACCATGCAGGGGAGAAATCCTAGAGCTTTGTAAGGAACTGATGCTGTAATAGAGGTACAGAATGCCATGAGGCACAAGTCAAAGAAAGCTTAATTGTCTCTGGGTAAGTGCTGGACAGCTTTATGGAAGAAGGGGCATTTGTATCTACCTTTGAATTAGGATAGGATTTAGAGAGGCGGAAATTCGTAGGGAGGCTGTTTTCAAGGGTGAGTGATAGCTGGAGCGGAACAGAAATATTGGGCATAGCCAAGACACTTTATGCTGGTTTGCTTTGTTAATGGATGCAGATAGGGTCAGGGTGCAAAGAGCCCAGGAATGGGCAAACTGTAGCAATTTTGGGCAAGACAATGAGGTGGTCCAACTGTGTAGGCAGGAGGCTAGACTGGGAAGTAGTGTTGGAAGCAGAGGCAGGAGGTCTTGGGACTGCAGGAAGGAGTCCGTATAACATTGGAATTTGAGCCCGGTGATTGGGGGATGATCATGTCCCTCCTTGCGTTGGTTACAGGTTTTGTGAGATGATATGGATTCTGGATTTGTTAGCATGAATTTATTAATCGCCTGCTCCATGCTCTGTACTAGTTCATCCAGTCTTAACAACCCTACTGTTGATAGGGAAGCGAGTTGCCTGAGGTCCTGCATCTAATAAGAGGTGTCATACCCCCTCTGGCTGACCCCCTGGCCAGCATATTTGCTTTAGGCACATCCTTATTAAACACCTACCAGGGTCGGAAGAGAGCCACAGATTTGGAGTCACCCGCCCAGGTAAAATAATTTGAAGTGCAAAATCAAATTCCTATAGAAGGTGTGCCAAAGGGTGGGTTTGTGTCCGTTTCTACTGGTATTTGTGATGGTAACTAGCTTTATAGTCCCATCATATCCTTGCTTTTCTTTGGAAGGAAATTCATGGAGTAGACATGACTTCATGCCTGCACGTACATGCTTGACTGCAAGCATGCATAGCTTTTCCATACCCTGCTTGAAAATCCAGACCCCTTCCTCAGAGGCCTGGTAGGACAAGATTCCCATATACCCACTCTGCATATTGTCGGCTGTGCACTGATGTAAATCTTAAATTATGCTGTGGTAATGGGAGGCTCTTCATTTTCCTCATAGGTGTTAGGATTCCTTAAATCAGGGTTTTGTTTTCATTTCCTTAGAACTGTTATGCAAAAATTGATTTACAGTTATCCAAAGAGGTAGTATTACTTTATCTTTTGAAATTATATTTAACAATGTTGTTTCAATCTTTATTTTTTTTAAAGAAAGGAAGAAAAAGGCATGCTTTTTCTTTTCTTGTTGATTTCTTGACTTTAATTTTGTTTTACTAACATATAATGTATTTTTTGTTTCAGGGGTACATTGTTTCAATCTTTAAATTATTACTGAGATTTAAGAGTTTTTGTACTAGTTTTATTGTTCATAGTAGGCCAAGAAGAAAATGTTTTAAAAGGTATAGGACAAAAATAATTCATTTTAGCATATGAATTACAAAATGTAAAATACTAGTTTAAAATTCTTTGAGTTACATTACAAATGTACTGTATTTCTTTTTTTTTTTTAAGATTTATTTGTTGGGGCGCCTGGGTGGCTCAGTCGTTTAGTGTCTGCCTTCAGCTCAGGTCATGATCCCAGGGTCCTGGGATCGAGCCCCGGGTCGGGCTCCCTGCTCAGCGGAAAGCCTGCTTCTCCCTCTCCCACTCCCCCTGCTTGTGCTCCCTCTCTCGCTGTCTCTCTCTCTCAAATAAATAAATAAAACCTTTAAAAAAAAAAAGAATTATTTATTTATTTTAGAGTGAGAGGACCTGAGAGCAGTAGGAGGGTTAGCGGGAGAGGGAGAGACTCTCAAGCAGACTTCCCACTGAGCTCAGGATCCAATGTGGGGCTCAACCTCATGACCCTGAGATCATGACCTGAGCAAAAATCAAGAGTCAGATACCCAACCTACTGACCCACTCAGGCACCCTAAAAGTACTGTATTTCTAAGAGAGCAACTTTTGGAGGGCTCTTAGGATTTGTCTGAAAGCAAATCTAATAATGTTTTCCATTTTTTATTCGATAAAAGTACAGATTCATCTCAAAGTCATATTATGTGCCCGGCACTGTTCTGGAGCTATAGCCTGAACAGTCTGCCCACCCTCCAGATTCTTCCCTTCATGTGGGGGAAACAGACAATAATCAAAATAAAAAAGTAAATATATGGTGGGTTAGCCGGTGGTAAGTGCTATGGAGGAAAACACATCAGGGGGTAGGGATAGTGTTTCATGAGGTGAGAAGTGATGTCAGTTTAAGTAAGGTGTTCTAAAAAGGCTTCCCTGATATGTTGTTAACATTTGAGCAAAAGGCCTGAAGATGCGTTTTCTGGAGAAGAGGAAAAAGAAAAAAACCTTAATAAAAAAACAGACTTCCGAATATAAATACCATTTATTTTTTATTTTTTTTAAAGATTTTATTTATTTGTTTGAGAGAGAGAATGAGAGAGAGAGCACATGAGAGGGGGGAGGGTCCGAGGGAGAAGCAGACTCCCTGCTGAGCAGGGAGCCCGATGCGGGACTCGATCTCCGGACTCCAGGATCATGACCTGAGCCGAAGGCAGTCGCTTAACCAACTGAGCCACCCAGGCGCCCATAAATACCATTTAAATAATGTATTTCAGAGACAAATTATGTTTTAGATTAAGTAAGATATTTAAAAGAAGCATAATGCTAGATATGCCTTTTTTGGAACTGTGGTCTTCCATTCCTGACCTTGGTTTTGTGCTGTTTCCTTATAGGATGTCCCAGTGGTATGAACTTCAGCAGCTTGACTCCAAATTCCTGGAGCAGGTTCACCAGCTCTATGATGACAGTTTTCCCATGGAAATCAGACAGTACCTGGCACAGTGGCTAGAAAAACAAGACTGGTAAAGGAAGCTCACTTGAAGATTTTCTATGCTTTTAAAGTGATTAAGTGACTTGGAGCCAGATTGGCTAAGAGATGAATCTCACTGTAGCCATTTGGATTATCTGTTGCAAAAAAAAAATGTGTCAGTCTGAAAACTGGCGTTTTATCTCTACAAAGCTAACTGTGTTGGTCGTTAAGTACTTTTATGTAGTTTTCTGTTTAATTATGATGTAGACTCCTAAATGCTTTGGACAAGTTAGATAATCCTGGCGCCAATTATTTTCCACATTAGGATCCAGGTTAGAGAAAGAAGTAAGTTAAAAGAAATAATGATAGCCGAATTATGGTAAAACATTGATTAGAAATAGGAAGAAAGTAATAAAATTAGGGGGATGTCTCTAAAAACTGATATGTATTCTACTTTAAAATTTACTCTTTGCTGATTGCAGAAATTTTAAATGACATACAAAGTAAAGGTCCCTATTGTTTTTTTCCCCTCCAGAGATAATTACCATTAACAGTTTCATGCAGAATCTGAGTTCTGGAATTTTTCATGTATTGTACAAACTGTTGTTAAGAGCTAAGTCAGTCTGAAAAGAAGAAAGAAAACCTAAGAGAACGCTTAAAATTTGGTTTCTTAAATAGTTTTCATTAGGAAAGTGATGTTTATTTTGTCTTTTTAACAGGAGCATCTAGAATAAAATGTATAAGGGGCGCCTGGGTGGCTCAGATGGTTGGGTGTCTGCCTTCGGCTCAGGTCATGATCTCAGGGTCCTGGGATCGAGCCCGGCATCGGGCTCCCTGCTTGGTGGGGAGCCTACTTCTCCCTCTCCCTCTCTACTGTTCCCCCTGCTTGTGCTCTCTCGCTGTCTGTCAAATAAATGGATAAAATCTTAAAAAAAATAAGTGAATAAAATGTATAAATTTTAAATCTCCCAGGGAGCATGCTGCTAATGACGTTTCATTTGCCACCATCCGTTTTCATGACCTCCTGTCACAGCTGGATGATCAGTATAGTCGCTTTTCTTTGGAGAATAATTTTTTGTTGCAGCATAACATAAGGAAAAGCAAACGTAATCTTCAGGTATGACCTGGTTTTTGCATTTTAGTCAAAATGTTCCCAAGCCTATATAAGAGTATTTTTTTCATTGAGCAAATACTATTGAGTTGAGCGTGCATTCTTTGGTATTTTTAAAAGTTTCAGAGATGGCAAATAAACTCTCTTTGTATAGCTAATATTTTATAGCATGAGCAGAGTAAAATATCAACTTATTTTGTAAACACATAAAGAATTCTCAGATTTAAGTGTATCACCTGTTAGGTGTCAGTAATTCTAAGAGAAATGTGATGCTATCACCTTGTTTTACTAACAGTTGTCGAAATTGAAACCCAAGGAAAAGGGTTACATTTTAAAAGCCGTGAGCTGTACTAACATGTAGAAACTCAAAGGAACTTTAGTGATGAGTGCAGTCTAAGCCCTTGGTATGCAGATGAAGAATAAATCCGGAAAGGTTTGATGTCCCCAAGGCCTGATACAGTCAGGGAATTGGAACTAGGCTCCACCTTTCCTTGCTTTTGGAGGAGTTGCCCTCCCATGGAAGAGAAAGTCAGAAGGAGTCCCAGGCAGGAGAGAATGGGCTACAGAATTTCGGGAGTTTTTGAAAAGTACTCCCTTCAGCCTGGTTACCATATTTACTTGTGTAGTAACAGAACTTTTCTGTCTCCATAGAGGTGAGAGCGATCATTTTCTTATTTCATACAACACAACCAAACTGTTCAACTTAGGTAGTTAGAAGCTTTTTATTCCTTTGTGAACATATCTATGATTTTATAATACCAGTGACAGGGGAAGTCAGATGAAATACAGAAATTTGCTCTCCTACAGACTTTGCTTGAACATATCTGTTACAAAGAGCCACAATTGCCAGTATTTTGCACCCTGCTTTCACAAGGAAATAGAAAAACTGAAAAGAATATCTTTGATCTAATTCAAAACAGACCAACAGATAAATTAATTGAGAAATATCATAGATAGTTTCTGTATCATTTACATTGTCTCAGGATCCTAATGGAACATAAATAGCTTCAAGAACAACAGAAATTAAAGTAAAACTATTAGAGGAACCGTGTATGAAGATACTTCATTTTTTAATCAAGAAATAATTTAGGTACCTGCACTTACTGGAAGCTTTTGTCATAATTTATTAAAAGAATATTTTGATTTTACCAAAAATAGCTTGTATAGAATTTAATTAATACAAGATGAGACTTTTCAGTGGATAGGAAGAAATTCAATTTATAATATACAATGGCTTAATCATTCTGAAATTTGTATTTATTTTAACCCACATCTAGGATAATTTTCAGGAAGACCCAATACAGATGTCTATGATCATCTGTAACTGTCTGAAGGAGGAAAGGAAGATCCTGGAAAATGCCCAGAGATTCAATCAGGTACTTTTTTTCTAACGGAAAACTGAAGATCATAGTAAAATAAAAATTCATTCATTTATCCAACTAATATTAACAATATCCTGTGCAAGGCAGTAGTGAATAGCCCTCTGATTTTATAGCCCCAGGAAATGGCAAAAATCAGATATAGAGATTTTATAGACCCAGGCTTTAAGAAAGGACTATAATCTAATGGAAATCATTCTGGTGATGGAGAGAGTTAATACGTAAACAAAATATTTTCAGATAGTGATGATTCCTATGCAGATACCAAAGCAGGATACTGTGATACAGTAACGGTGTATCAGGGGGATGGGGCTATGTCTTTAGATCAGGGTGAGGAACCTTCTCTGAGGCATGGGGCAGGGAAGGAAGCAGGCAGGCAGAGGGAGAGGAAGTGGAAATGTACTCAAGAAAAGTGCAGTTGGTAGAGGTAAGAAGAAGTAGGCAGATTATGTTTGGGACAAGGTACCAATGGGGCTTATATTGAAGGATCAGATGTGGGAGTGAGGGAAAGTGAAAAACGAGAGAAGACTTGATGGTTTGCGACTTGAATCACTTGGAGATATTGTCCATTGAGCTGGGGAGGAAAGAAAAGACAGGAGGAGGGCTTTTGCAAGACATAAACGTGTTCTTCCCTCCCATCTTTTGGAGGGAAGAACACGTTGGTAGGAAAATCAAGACCTTTGTTTTGAATAGGATCAAGTTACCTCTTAAATATATAAGACATCCAAACAGGGAATGAATCAGATTTGTTTTAGCACCAAGATTTCTGATCATGGTTTTACTAATACTCATACAAACCTTCCTGGCGATCAGGGTTCAGATTTTTCAAATTGCCATGGCATCTGTTTATTCCCTTTTTGAGTGATGGGGTGCTGGGAACCACCCACAAGGCAGTGAGACTATAGTTGTGAAACCCCTGTGTGGGTTGTTCAGCTAAGACCCTTCCAATATGAGGGGGAGAATGCCAGAGTATTAAAATTTAAGTAGCAGGAGTGAATGCCATTCTCTGTGCACTTTCTGGGCATCTGATCCAGTCCTGGTGAATCTGCTGCTTCCCTAGGCATTTAGTTCCTAGCACACTGGAAGCACCTTGCTGCACTAAGCATTTAGAGAGACTCATTATTTGTTCTCAACTCAAGCTAGTTCATCTGGTACCTGGCCTAGTGAACAGAAGTGTGTATCAGTGCTGGCTGCCTGGTCTCCTCTGCAGGAGATATGCTTGTCTTCAACATGCATTCTGCACCTGGGAGATTTTCAGCAGGACATTTTGACTGTGTGGGATTTTCATCTTAACAACACTATGCAGTGGGCTGGCCACGCCTGTATCTCAAACTTGAGAGGACCGCCAAGAGCAGAGACAGGCAGAAGAACAAACTTTCCACGTTGGCACCCAAGCATTTCTCTCCTCACATTTGGCCCTGAGGCCCAGAGTTGGCATTGCGAGGCAGAGCAGGGGGCTTCTCCTCTCCCAGATCAGCCTACTCTCCTGAGTATGCTTTGGGTCTTGAAGGCTTGCCAACATTTTTCTCCCCTTTAAGAAATGTAGGTAACCTGGAAAGAGGATCATTTTAAGCCTCTCAGAAGACACCTGAGTTATCAGTGAACACCTGTAAGGAGATTTAGTTGATTGTCCAGCTAAGAACAAGAGAAGCAAGGCCTTCTTCACCAATACAGTTAGACAAGAGAGAAACGTGAGAGGCATAGGAATCAACGGCAACATCATAGGGATGTCGGCTCTCCCTGAGTTATTCATAATTTTAACATGATCCCAATAGAAGTAACAAGTTTCTTTCTGAAGCTGTGAAAGTCATCAAGAAAATAAATGTGCAAGAATAGCAAAGAAACTCGTGGAAAAGCACAGCAATAAGATGGGCCCCGCCCTATTAGATATATTCCAAACTCTCCACAGTCAAACACTGTTCAGGGGTTCGGGTTTAGGAAGAGAAATACCCATGGGAAATCAGAGAACATCTAGAACTTAAACCCAGGTACATAAGGAACTTTGTGTGATAAAAATGGCAAGTCAAATCTCTGGGGAAAATATGAACTTTTCACGAAATGTTAAGAAAAGTGGACAGCCATTGGAAAAAAGTTAAAATTGTACCCACACTTCTTCACAGTAAACACAAGAATAAACTTCAAATGGATGAGAGATCTAAAAGTAGAAAAAAAAAAAGAAACCACATAAGTGCTAGGTTAAAAATGGGTAAACTCCTCTCTAATCTGTCAACACGGAAAGGCTTTCTATTACGGAAAATCCAGATATAAAAGAAGAAAATACTGATAAGTTTGAATATGTAAAAATACCCACATAGAAACTGTGCTTGTAGGACTCCGTTAAGAAAGGTCGATGGGCACAGTTTTTGCCATGGGAGGGACTTTAAATCTAAACAAAATAGCATCTTTCTAGAATCTAATCCATATGAAAACAGTCTCATGTTTACCACTCTACCACCTGGGTCTAGGACGTTGTCTGACCTTGACTTAATACCTAGTAAGTCATGCTATGTGAATAAACCATGGAACACTTTAAATAAGGAACAAACACATAGAGGCTGCTATGTCTGAGTCTTCAGAAAGGATGAGGGCTGAATACTCTGTGTGTCTGGGTTGATAGTCATTATTACTTTAGAGTAGCACATGCTCATTGAAGTCCTTAATGGCAGTGCTGTGCAATTCTGATAGGCCTCTGGATCGCCTGGGATCTTGTCAAAATGGGGCTTCTGATTCAGTAAGCAGATTAGGCACTGAGACTGCATTTCTGGCAAGCTTCCAGGTGGTGAGGTGCTGCTGGTCTGGGGACCACACCGGGAATCGCAAGGCTTTACGACAAATAAGTACAGGGTTAATAGGAATAATCTTGTCTACAAAATTTGAGAAACCCTGAAGTAAACTTCTTATGTGGTACCACGCAACTGTATGAATTAATGGAAAATTCCAGAAATACTCTGTTTATAGTAGGCACGAACTGAGCCTAGTCTTCCTGTAGCCTTTTTAATAGTTTGCCAGAACTTTCCAGAGCCTTGAGAACCGAGCTGTTTCTTGTCAACACTCATGTGGGAAGCTTGTAGGAAGTTTTGAAAGGTCTGGGAGGTAGGTGGTGCACAGGGTATGGACTCGACTTTGGAGAGTAACCATCCGGTAACTCTGCCAGAGGAAATAATAGTTGTTAACCCCTACCCCTCCCATTCCAGGCACAGTCGGGGAATATTCAGAGCACGGTGATGTTAGACAAACAGAAGGAGCTTGACAGCAAAGTCAGAAACGTGAAGGATAAAGTTATGGTGAGTACTGAGTCAGTATATATGTTTAACCTCTAACTTTTTTTGTAAGACGAAAAGGGTTTCAATGGCTCGAGTGTAAAGGTGGTTAACTGATTTCGGCTTTTAAGTAGTTGAGAAGAAGAGTTTTGCTGAAATTCCAAACCATACGTAAACAAATTAGTTAAATCAACGAGCAAATAGACTTTTACGGCCCCTGTTACAGCGTCAAACACTGAGCTTATCTCTTTCTTCCTTGCCAAGATTGTGCAGTAACTGTTGACTGTGCCCCATCACCCAATAAACTAGATGTTCCTGCTCGAAATAGCCTTTGATGTCTGTGCTTCTCAAATTGGGGTGTTCCTGGGGTTACACAGAGCCCCAGAACAAACATGGCCCATGTTTCTCAAGCACCTGTTTTATTCTAAGACTGGGAAGGGGAACATTAAAGTAGAAATCAAGTGAGCCCCGTCTGAAAATAACCATATCTTTTCCTCTTAAAAAAATTATTATATACTTATTAAGGAAATAGAAATTATTATGTATGTGATTAGAATTTTGCAGATGGAATCCATCTTTGAGGAAGCAGGATTGTTACCCTGGTTTTCTGGGTCCTATAGAAACAATAATCTATTTCCCAAAGTCTTTGGAAGCTGATCAGTGGGAAAACCTGTTTATGTCTTTATTTGTAGTGTATAGAGCATGAAATCAAGACCCTAGAAGATTTACAAGATGAATATGATTTTAAGTGCAAAACCTTGCAGAACAGAGGTAAGAATTAACGTTTAAAGCAGTGCCCATTGGCTGTCCTTTTTTCTGTTGACACTAGATAAAGAAGGCAAGTATGTCTTCATATTTGCCAAATGCTTTATGACTCTGAATTGATAGTCTTGGCTTCTCGATGTTGCAAACCAGGGTCTTAACCTCTGTACTGTTGACATTTTGAGCCAGATAATTTTTTGTTGTGAGGGGCAGTACTGTGCATTATAGGATGTTTAGCAGCATCCCTGACTTTTAGCCACCAGATGGCAGTAGAACTATTCCCTAATCCCCAGTGGTGACAGACAAAACTGTCTCCAGACACAGGGCTGGGGGACTGGGGTGGGGGGGCTAGTATCACCCCCCCTGTCGACAACCACTGGTTATGTGCTACTCACTTTACTTACTGTACCTAGCCCACTGATTGACACAGACCGACAGATGTGTGGAGTTTCCCTGCTTGAAGCCCCTTCAAACGTCTCCGCTCCATATGATTGCTATAACCCTAGTAATCCCTTGGAGGATACCAAGGTTAATCTGGAGAGATTATTAGGATAATTTAGGGAATAGTATGAGAGAAAGGGAACCCAACTACTCCTTCCTAATTGTGTACTTCTCTTACAAAGCTGCACATACACTTTGTATAAAATTTTTACCTGGGATTTTGAATTTTGTCACTTATATTCATCTAGGTAATAGTCTGACAATGATTTAAGAGCCAGATGGTACTGTTTCCAGTTCACATGGGTCATTGAAAACAAGTACTTTGTTTCAGTTTATCCAGTTTTTAAACTTGGGACATTATTTTTTGTTTTGTTCAATAAAAATTAAAGACCAAACTTTGATCTGTCACCAGATAGCACTTGGATTATATTTCTTCTAAGTGTATGTGAATCTTGGATTTAGTTGGTTTTGGTTTTTTTTACATTTATATTTTTCTGCCATCTCTCCCAATTCACAGAGCATGAAACCAATGGTGTGGCAAAGAATGATCAGAAACAAGAACAGATGTTAATCCAGAAGATGTATTTAATGCTTGACAATAAGAGAAAGGTAGTGATTCACTTTCTAGAATAATGTGTTGCTTTCACCACAGACTATAAATAATGGACTTGAAGTTTAGGATAGAGGAAAAATTATTATAACCACTTGGCTTAGAGCCCCAGTTGAGATATTTGCTTTGCTTTAAAAAAAAATATTTTTAAATTCAGTGATTAAAGATGAATTGACTTCACTTTGTCTCTTCCTCTCCCTTTAGGAAGTAGTTCACAAAATAATAGAGTTGTTGAATGTCACAGAACTTACCCAGAAAGCCCTGATTAATGACGAGCTGGTGGAATGGAAGCGGAGACAACAGAGTGCCTGTATTGGGGGGCCCCCCAACGCTTGTCTTGATCAGCTGCAGAACTGGTAAGATTCTCCAAATCTGACTGGCCGACCCCATGAACTCATGAAGTGCACATTCAAGTTGTTAGTTGAAAGGACCCTGTCCAAACTTTGGATTAGACTTTAACATAGTCCAGCCTCTTCTTGCTCTGGAAACACTTGAAAAGCACACGTTTTTCATGCCTGTGGCCGAGTTCAGCCAAGCTCTGCTTCGTTTTGAGCGCTCCTCTCCCTACTGTGCCTGTCCCGTGGGATGCGTCATTTGTGCCAAAACACCGGTAACATAGTCATCACATAACACATTTAACAGCTTGAGCCCTCATGTTTTATTAAAAACAAAATAGCATGAGACAGTTTCCAGGCTTCCATGGAATAACAGTTTGGACCATTCATTCAGTCATCCGTCTAGTGAACTCTTATTAAATGCTGTATGCCAGGCACTGGGCTAGGACCTGGGAACACAGGATGAGTGATTCTTGATCCTCACCAGAAAGGAGCTCTCCGTGTGGAGGCGGAAGGTAAATGTCCTCATTCTGTGCAGTAAAAGGTCGCCAGTGCTCTAATGAAGGGCTGCCCAGAGTTCTGTGGAGGGCGAGGGAAGGAGTTACCAGGAGAGGTTTCTGAGAGGAAGTGGTCTTGCACTGACTTGAGACTGAAGAGGCGTCCTTTCTGGAGACCAGGGAGGGTACCAGCAGGGACAGAGGAGAAGAGAGGCTGGGCGTGAGAGGGGCCTGCAGTACCCCATACTGGATGGCTGCAGAAGGGGGTGCCCGCAAGGGCAGGAAGAAGGGTGGAGGTAGCAGGAAGCTGGAACCTGGTTGAGGAGGCTTTCACATGCTACGAGGAACGGGACTTTATCCAGTGGGTGCCGATGAGCCAGGCGGGCTTTTTATTTAAGTGGAGGCTCACTTCTTGGGGTTTTTTTTAACTTAGGTCACTCTGGCAGCAATCTGGAGGATAAACTAGAGACACAAAGGCCAGCTGGTTGACTGTGAGCATACTAGTGTCGTCTGGGGGAGGGCCGACAGACCAGAGTGGATGGCAGAGGTGGATCAGAGTGGAGGTGAGGGGATGGTAGCCTGGAAGAGTTCCCAAGCGCCCAAGGACCAGAGATCTCAGGAGGTTCTCTGAATTGCTATTTTTAAAAAATATTCACGATTAATACTTAGCTATTCATTTTTATTCTGTGGATTGTCTGCTCGTATTCCAAGTTTCCTGTTGCTTAGAGCAGAGCTTCCCCAGCCCAGTGTGCCCCCATGGGCCTTGAGAGGCACTGACACCACCACCCCCCAAGCCCTCCTGCTTCCTAGGCAGGCCCTGGGCTGTCTGGAGCCCCCTCATGGTCATTTAGGCCACAATGAGCCTCTTCCAGAGCCACAAATGCCCCCCAGGGGCCCCCCACTGTGCTGTCCACAGATTATCTTGTTCTCGTGTGTGTCATGGCCTGAACAAAGTTGGGAAGCACTGGCTTAGGATCCCCTTGGAGCTCGCCCACCTGCCATCAGTCTGCCTCTCCTTTCACAGCCAAGGGCTGCTCCTTAAGTGCTTTGAACTGGATTCAGGAAATGAAACCATGAAGCAAGGGAGGTGTGTTTCATTGGAAGAAGGTTTTCCTCCGTCACTACTCCAGGGAGGTAAGCCACAGTCCCACAGCCTGACTTGGCGCAGAGGCCCTTTACTGGCAGGAAGGAGGAATCTGAAAGCAATCGCTAGTTTCCTCCTTGGTTTATATTTTGAGTATCTAGATTGAGCGTCTTGCTGCCTTCTTTCAATTCAGGAAAACGGTAACCTTTGTTCTCTCTTCTCCTGACCGGGGCCTGTCATTCCCTCACCATGTGGCTTCTGCAGCTTCCAAGCTGCTCTCTTGCTCCTCTGTGTCCTGATACAGCACCTGCCTGGGCTCCTCGCTGCCTCCAGCATCACCCCTGACGGCGTTTCCTTTGCTGTGTCCCCTGCCTCTGCCTTCCTCTTTGCCCGGTCCCTTTAAATCCCAGTTATCATGCAGGTCAATAGACATCACGGATCCCCAGCCAGCCCCATCTCCGTAGGTCTGGGCTGTAATCTGTTGGTTTCTTCTCCCCAAATAATAGTTTTTAATGGCAAGGTGAACCTTGTTCTCTGTGCAGAGTGTGACCGGCCGCACAGATAAGGTCAGGTGTTGCCTGGGGAAACCACTTGTCGGTTTCCGCGATTCCCTGTAACCCAGGCAGCTTTGAGATTGCTTCTGATCGAGGCTCCTGTGTCATGTACCTTCCAGGTTCACCATAGTTGCGGAGAGTCTGCAGCAGGTTCGTCAGCAGCTTAAAAAGCTGGAGGAATTGGAACAGAAATACACCTATGAACACGACCCTATCACAAAGAACAAGCAGGGGCTATGGGACCGCACCTTCAACCTTTTCCAGCAGCTCATTCAGAGGTAACTTGAGGGAGACTCATTTGCATCTTCTGCAACTGTTTTCCCCGGGGGAAAATTTCACGGTGATTCAGACCGTTTAAAAGTTTAATAGGTTATGGACATGTCTTCAGGGCAGCCATCTCTTCCTAAATTCCTTGTCCATACCATTGGCTCTTCATTCTTGGGGCCACCTAGCCTGGGAACTTGTCCGTTGTACTCCTCCTTCGCCTGGGGCCAGTCTGTGCGGAGCCCTGTCAAGTCAGCCCTGGTGCTGTTTGTCCCCTGCTTCCCCCTCCAGGGCCTCCTCAGCCTCCTTCAGGCTCTCAGACCCTCTTGCTGAACTCGTGCATAGTCGCCTCCCAAGTGCTTCCCTCCTCAGCCCCTGCCTCCCTAGTCCCTGTGACGCTGGGCTTCCCAGAGCAGAGTCCAGCCTGGCGCTTTGTCACTGGCTTGCCTGGGTGGAGCCCCTCAGCTGGACACTTGTGCCCCACCTCCCCGGCCCGGCGCCAGCTGGCCGCTCCAGGGTGAGCTTCCCCACATGCCCCATTTCCAGGCAGACCGCGTTCGCACCAAATCCGGTCACTTCGCCCTGCCTCTCCTCGGTCCCCCGCCCCACAGCCGCCGCCTTTGAACCTCATCTCGACATTGTTTCCTCCTGAAAGTTTCAGCTTATATGTTGTCCTGAAATCTTCCCAGAGTTCCCAAACATGTTACCTCCCTTCTGGATCCTCATGGCTCAGTCTTTATTCTTCTCTCATTCTGGATTCATTATGTAGTTGTGTATGTGTTTCTGTCGTCTGTGACATAAATTGGAAGTTCCTGGAAGACAGAGATGTGCCTTTGTCATCTTTTTTCCCCCACAAGGACCTGGTGCAGTGCTTTGTCCGTGGGCAGGTGTTCCAAATATACTTAGTAGATAGATAAATGGCACTGGGTAGAAGAATAGGGTTCATATTGAAATTTTTTTGTGTGCTAACATGACATAATAAAAAAATATCCTCGGTTCCCTGTGGCTAATGTCCAAACAGGAATACCTCAGTGCTGTATTTGAAATAATCAAGGATATTTATTTACTTGGGTTTTGGAATGCAAATGTAATCCTTTTTTAAATGAAAATTCATAGTTGGAAATGTTTATTATATAATAAATATTACTAAACAATTTTACTAGAAGAACAGTTTTCCAAAGGATCCCAAAATATCCATGTCAAATTATAGTAGTAAGCAATGTGTTACATGGTTCGTTTTCAACTGTAATGAAATTTCTTTTTATTTTTTGTTTTTGGTTATTTTTATTTTTAAATTGAGATGTGAGTGGCATACAACATTACATTAGGTTCAGGTGTACGACATAATGATTTGATATTTGTATATGTTACAAAGTGATTGCCACAGTTAAGTCTAGCTAGGAAATCTGATTCTTCATGCAAATTCGTAAATGAACATAACCCAACTCAGGGTTTTCATTGTCGAAGGTGCCATGGGTCACCACAACTACTCTGATCTCACGTTGAGTGGAATGTGGTGTGGAGATTTCTGTGCTGACTAGCGAACCTCACTTTATTCACCAACTTGTTCGAATCTTACAAACCGAGTTTTAGCTTGTGCCCTCTAACTCACTCTTCTGTTTCGGGAAAACAGTTTGTACTGCCTCAGCCTTAATGGAAATGCTAATCTGCACTTTGCTTGGAATTTACAGCTCATTTGTGGTGGAAAGACAACCTTGCATGCCAACTCATCCTCAGAGGCCGCTGGTCTTGAAGACTGGGGTCCAGTTCACCGTGAAGTTGAGGTAACCAAGAAAAGATGGAAACACTGCGCCTTGTGCCATGAAGTTAGCACCCCTCGCTTCCTTCACAACAGTCACGGAGGGTGCTTTAGAGGAAGCAGTTTTGCAGTAGGCATTTCAATGTGAATTCTTATTCAGAATATCTTGTATTTAGAATATTAAAGGAAATAGAAATATATCACGTATTTATGTATACATACGCACACCCAATCTTCCCCCTGTAAACGTAAAGCACATTCGCTGTAAAAAGGAATTTGAAAAGGCAGAACTTCCTCCAGTAGACACAAAAGTTCCCAGCAGTTGTGTGCTGAGTAGACGCTTGTAACCTGGGCTTTACGTAGCCCCGAGACCACATGCAGTGTGTGAACATGGACTCGTGACATGTCTATTTTTCTGGTGAATGGGTTCATAGATTTCATCAGTGTTTCAAAGTTGTCCGTGATCTAAATATCTGTAGACCACTGTGGTAGATAGCCTAGTGTCAGTCCTCCTTCGCAGAATTCTGTCCATGTCTCCACAAATACAGAAATAAATAAAGTTGTGTGTGTGTGTATATATATACATATATTTTCATACATAGATAAACACACATTCACACATACATAATGTCATGTACAGGATTTTATTTTTAAAACCTAGGGTTCTGGCCTGTTTTTCTCCTTGATCATAAGTTGCAGAAGTGTTTCCATGTGAGAACATAGGGCTGTGCTTTATTGAATGGCACATTTCTTTAGCTGTTCTTCTACTGATGAGCGCCTGGACTTGCCTTCAGAGTTGGCCTTAGTCTTTTCTCCTGGCGTGCTGCTGAGTTGGGTCCCGGTTGAGGCCCCCTGGCTGCTGGTGTTACAGCACCACACCCACGCACCCGTAGGGACCGGGAACTCACAGCTAGAAGGGGCATGAGAAGCCCAGTCCCAGCCACCTGCCCCATTAAGCGGAGCAGACCAGCGAGGGGCTCCTGCCCAAGGTCTCCCGCTCATCAGGGAAGACACACACACGTCTTAGCCCAGCATTCCTTCCTTCCATCTTTCCATACCACCCTGGAATGTCTATAGATGTTAACCTCTTTTTCCTGATTATGGGTCAGAGTTCTTAGTTTTTCCCAACGGAACAAACATTAGATAAAAGTTTTAGTAAAAAATATACATTTGCTATTTTTTGCCCATATAACTGTCCCAAAGTAGAAATTTTGATAAAACCCAGTGTTGGTAAGGCTGTATAAGGAAGCAGGTACCTTCACTCACATTTGGTAGGAATGGAAAAGCTGCTGCTTTCCATCAGAATTTAGTGTGACAGTATTGCCCCAGCAATTCCTCAGTTAGGAATTTATGCTGCAAATACACTTAAAAGAAATCCAAGTAAACATACGTGGATGTCGATTCCATTGTTTGTCATAACTGGAGGGAGCGGAGGTTATTGAAATGTTCACCAACAGGGAATTGGCATAATAAATAAACTGTAATAGATCATTTTTTTTTAGAATTGGCTCCATTTTATTTTTTTAAATTTTATTATGTTAATCACCATACATTACATCATTAGTTTTTGATGTAGTGTTCCATGATTCATTGTTTGCATATAACACCCAGTGCTCCATTCAATACGTGCCCTCCTTAATACCCATCACCAGGCTAACCCATTCCCCCACCCCCTCCCCTCTAGAACCCTCAGTTTGTTTCTCAGAGTCCATCGTCTCTCATGGTTCGTCTCCCCCTCCAATTTCCCCCCTTCATTTTTCCCTTCCTACTATCTTCTTTTTTTTTTTTAACATATAATGCATTATTTGTTTCAGAGGTACAGGTCTGTGATTCAACAGTCTTGCACACTTCACAGCGCTCACCATAGCATATACCCTCCCCAAGGTCCATCACCCAGCCACCCCATCCCTCCCACCCCCCACCACTCCAGGATCCCTCAGTTTGTTTCCTGAGATTAAGAATTCCTCATATCAGTGAGATCATGTGATACTTGTCTTTGTCTGATTGACTTATAATAGATAATTTTTAAAGTAATAATGACTTTTATTTTTCTTTCCAGACTGCTGGTGAAATTGCAAGAGCTGAATTATAATTTGAAAGTCAAAGTCTTATTTGATAAGTAAGATATCTTTAATATTATCTAAGATACATACACTATTGAAATGCTGGTTTTGTTAACCAAACAAGGACTGATGCACCGGGGTTATTTATAAGTGATCCCAAGAGGGTTAAATTGATAGTTCCCATTCTGGACCCTGGGAGCTTCCCCTAGAGCTGATAGCAACATGCTGGTGCTTTTTTAGACTATAAACGAACGAAAGCATGAGTGTGTTTTATGCTTATGAGCTTGTAATGATCAAGTCTCGAAGCAACCGGGCCTGGCCTACTGGACCTCCTTCCTCCTAGGGCAGCCCCAGAGGAGAAGGGGCCCTTGGTCAAACACAAGGCTGAAGACCGTGATTCTGCAGCCATTGTGGGGTTGTTTCTGGAATGCAGTTGACAGCATTTTACAGGGACTGTGTGGAGTCTGTTGGATCCACCCCTGTCTCTTCTGGACAGTAGGAACCCAGGAATGGGCAGGATCTCTCACGGGGGTCTAAGTGGAGCCATCCTACCGCATTTTGCCCTGAGACCCTAGACCTGGACTAGCCCTGACCTAGCCACTGGCTCCTCTCCCCGCCCCCACCTTTGATATTTTTTAATGCTTTTGTGTGTGACATACTGGTTTAGCAAGTTTCAGAACCATTTACGATAATCCAAGTCATTTTCCTCTGGTGTTTTGTCTATCCGCTCTGTAACAATATCCTTCCCTGCATCTTTGTCTTTCCTGCCATCAGCTATGGTGTCTCTGTGTATCAGCTTTTGCTGGTTAACAAATCACCCCAAAACTTAGGGGCTTAAAACCCAAAAGCTTATGATTTCTCTTATTCTGTGAGCTGTAGGTGGTCTTTCTGGTCTGGGTCAGCTTGGTTGTTGCTGGGTGGTCCAGCGTGGGCTTGCTACATGTCTGAGGTCCTGGCTGGGATAACTGGGCCCTTCTCCATGGGGCTCTCGGGGGCTAGCCTGGGCTTTTTCGCATGGTGATGGCATTGCAGGTGGGTACGAATAGCAGGGTGCAAGGCCTGCTGGGGCAAGGCTTGGAGCTCGTACAGCATCCCTCCCATCCGTTCTGTTGGCAGAACCCAGTCAGAGTCACCTGAGGTTCGAGGGACAGGGAAATACACTCGTATCTTTTGAAGGGAAGAGTGGTAGAGATTTTATGGCCGTTAGGCCGTGCTCTGTCTGTCTTCTCTTTTGGTTTCTTAGAGTTCTCTTGTCTTTTCTCTCTGTTCCAGCTCTGGGTTTTCTTCTCAGCTCTGGCAAGGTAGCTTTGTGTCACGCTCTTCCCTTTACTTTAAGTTCTTCCTTGTCCCCCTCCCCCCACCGCTGCCCCCGGAACCGGGGAACATTGGTCACTCACATAGCTGATGGTGACTGTCACTCACAGAAATGTTGAACTTCTAGTTGACCCACGTAACTGTGAGTGTGCTGATCATTTCCAGGCTGTGCCTCTGCCTGACAGATGCGTGTGAGCCCAGAACATGACAGAGTCATCACTGCGTTGATGTTAAGAGGCCAGGTTGCTGAAGATTTAACCTCAGATTTAAAGCTTAAACTTGACAGTTTCCCCAAATAATTGACTCTTCTGGTACCTTCCTAAAAGCATTAAAGATAATAGACAATAAAAAAAAGGCTTTAGCTGGCCCATTGGAAGTTCCCTAGTCTCACAGCAGAGACGGCTCTCCGCTGCCCCGTGCTTAGCTCAGTGCCTGACACAGGGCAAGTGACCGCTCAGGAAACAGCCAGAAGCACAGCGCACTCACACTGATGGAGGGTGTGCTCTGTGCTCTCTCACCGTGAACAGCGTACCACTCACAGCGTCCTGTAAGGCTGGCGCTGGTAGCACCACACTGTCCAAGTGAGAAATGTGAGAGCCGATGGCTTATTTGCCCATGGTCACTCAGTAATTCTTGGCAGAGCGCGTGTTGGTTGACCCTGGGCTGGGGGGCGGGGGGGGGGGGGGGGGGGGGGGGTAATGAAAGGACAGAAAACCCACAGGTGTAGATTTTGTATTGATTTTTTACTTATACATATACTTTTGTATTTTTGTTAAAGCTCGTTTCAAAATTTAAATACACATATATGATTTTACATATGTATATTTCTTTTTCAGAGATGTGAATGAGAGAAATACAGTAAAAGGGTATGTCAAACACTTTGTACTATATTTTACTGTCTTTGTTTGTTTAAAAAGTTCCTAGCCTTTTAAGTATTTCTGCTCTGTATTGTCTAGATTTAGAAAGTTCAACATTTTGGGCACACATACGAAAGTGATGAACATGGAGGAGTCCACCAATGGAAGTCTGGCCGCAGAATTCCGACACCTGGTAAGGAGACCAGTTTTCCCCCTTTTTGGGTTGTGTGTGGCTTAGTAGGGCTTCATTTTCAACGCATGGCACCCGGTTCGCTGTGTGATGTGGATGGCACCCCCTGGGGAAGGCTTTCTCGAGTGTGCTGCTGACGTCACTAGCTCTTGAGGAATCTTTGTTCCTCCCCCCATCCCAGGCCTGTTCTGTTGCTGTTTTCTGCCAGTCTCTTCTCCAGAGATACTTTTTAAGAGCGTAGCAATCTTGGCAAAGTATTCCATAAACCAGTGAGCACCTCAGTGACCTGTTCTTGGTACCTCTGCGACCTCAGTGATCACTCACTCTGGCCTCCCATAGTTCCCTCAGAATTGACAGTTGCCCCCACATCCTGACCATTCCTTCTCCCCACTCCAATTGTGGCAGGTCCCAGGAGTCTCTCCTCGGCCCATTCACATTTTCCTTTCTGGTGGTCTTGCCCACGACCACTGCCCCTACCGCTTTGTCTCCAGAGGAGTAGGCCCATTCCTCCGGGCCGTAGAAATCCAGCACGGGTGGTGCCTTTTACCCGCCTCTGTGAGGTTGTTCTGATGTGTTGCCACTAACCCTTGTGTGCTCCCTGGGCTGGAACCTGCAGGGAGGTTCACTGGCAACAGTTCTGTAAGCCAGCAAATTCATAGTTAGTGAAGCTAGACCTTATATGAGAGCCTCAGTCCAGACGTGGGAGTCTGATGGTACCCAGAGCTGCTCTCAGGGCTCCAGAATGCTTCCTTAAAACTTCAGGGATTGAAGTCCTTTTGAGGGCAAGCTTAGCTGTGCCCTGAGCCTGGGGAGCATGAAACAGCTAATGAAGCTTAAGGGGAATCATTCAGAAAAACTTGCATGGGGTGGGAGTGGGGGAGGGAGCAGGATGTGAATCCCTGGGATCCTTCCGTGTTCGCCTGCTGTCCGCATGGTGTCAGGCTGCTGGAAGAGGGCGCTTATTAGGCTCATGAGCCCACACAGGGGTCATTTCGTGTCTTGTTTTGCACTCTGACAATCATTTCACATCCTTATTCTTTCTAAACCCTGACTTCAGTTTGATTTATAGATGAAAGTAGCAACTGTGAGCATTATCATGCTGATTACTAAGGTGGTTTCTTGTTCTATAGCAACTGAAGGAACAGAAAAATGCTGGCACCAGAACTAATGAGGTGAGTCCTTCTCTGTTTTGAATAGTCTCTAATCAGCAGGTGTGTGTGTCCAGGTAGGTTGGCTCAGTGCTCCTGAAGGCTGGGGGCACCTCGAAGAGGGGTTCAGACACAGCAGGGACGAGGATGAGCTTTGGGACACGGTGTGTCTGTGCTAACAGTAAACCCCACGGCTTTCATGCTCTGTGCTTGTCAGATGATTTTGCACTCGAAGTCACCGGCCCCTCCCTGAAGCCACAGTGGAGTAGGTATAATGGGCCCGTGTGCTACTCACATTTCACAGGCGAACAAAGTGGATCACGGGAAGTTTGTAGGATGTAGCTGAGGGTACATGGGAGTTACTGTGTGAGCTGGAACCAGAGGCCGGATCGGGGCCTGCCATGCTGAAGATGAAGTATGGCAAGAGGGTTTTCTCACCCCTGCGTTCCCTACCCAGTGGCAGCGTCTTTCCGTCACTTTCCTTTTTACAGCCAGATCCTTGAGAAGGAGTGATGTTTGTAATGCATTAAAAAGGGAACTATGGACAGAGGACAGAATGTCTGGCGTTGCTTTGGTTTGGAACGATTTCAGCCCTTGTGCCCACGTAGCAGGCGGCCCTTGCAACCACACCCAGCAGAGGTCGTGAGGAAGAGTGGACAGGCACCCCCGCCCCTGGCAGTGCAGGCACACACTGCCTAGCCCTGGTTTTGACCTTTATGCTCACCGTGACCTCCCCGGGCGCTCAGTTTCCTCTGCCGGGAGGAGAGAGAGTGGCCTCACCTCTACGGTTCTAAGTTGCTGGGAGGCTCCCATGAGATGATGTGTATGAAGGCACTTAGAAAACTATTACATTTCTCCCTAAACCAGGGACTTGCTGACCCGCCAGGCTTATGCAGATCAGTCCTTTCAGTAACTTGTCCCTCCTGGAACGCGTGCGCTGTCCGCCCGTCTGCCTGGGGTTGGAGCGGGGCCGCGGGGCAGCAGGCAGAGGGGCTGAGAGCCGCAAAGCCTCACATCACCAAGAAACCCATTAGAAGCTGCTGTTTCCCTATTGACATTTCTTTCTGTCAATTTATAACCCTGGCCAGGCTTTCAGAAATCTAATCCTTGAGAGAACACGGAGATACAGTAATTAAACCTGGGATACATTATTGAAAACGGGAATTTTTTTTCTGGATTGCACTTGGTTGGGGGTCAGGCTTTCTGAAGCCTGTTGCAGTGCCTATGAGGCCCCGGAAAGTTGCAGGATGTGTGAATGAATCACTGTATTCCTTTCTGTTTTTTCCCTTTTCTCTTTTAAGGGCCCTCTTATCGTTACTGAAGAGCTTCACTCCCTTAGTTTTGAGACCCAGTTGTGCCAGCCTGGTTTGGTCATTGACCTCGAGGTGAGATTTACATGGTTCAGACATGGAAAATTTTATTTTTATTTCTCAGTTTTTGTTTTAGACATATTTACTTAATTGCTAAAAAGAATGGTCTTTTTCAGCTAATACTATCTTGACGTTAATTGAATGGTTCGGGAAGCTAGAGAACCCAATTCAGCTTTAAATGCTCCAGACTAAATGTTTTAGTTGAGATGTCCTATGTTAATTTGTTATATGAAGCAGGGAGACTTATTTTTTAACTGAATGATATAACAAAAATAAGCTACGGACAAAAGAACTTAGTTTTACATTTTTAGTGTTCAAATATAAAATACGTGCAAATTTACAAACCATCCCTTGCTTAGTTTTGATGCTACACGGTGGTCTACAGGTGATATTTATGTGATTCTGATGATATTAAGGTCTTTGTCATCTTTTAGACGACCTCTCTGCCTGTTGTGGTGATCTCCAACGTCAGCCAGCTCCCGAGTGGTTGGGCCTCCATCCTGTGGTACAACATGCTGGTGACAGAGCCCCGGGTATGGAAAACACATCTGCTTTTGTATAGGTGCTAACCAGAGACCCCATCATCTGGCTTCTGTGCATCTCACAGAGCCCCCTAGGGCCAGATGTTCAGAGAAAAGTGACATAACTCGAGTGGCTTTGTTAAGGATCTTTAGTAATTCTGGAAAAGGGAAGCATATGTATGTATTAGAAGTGAGAATTATGATTTTCCTTCTGTGTGAATAAGCTCAGGCAATAGACTTCCTATAACTTTTACTGTGGAAGAGTTCATTTATTGCTTTTCTTTTAAAAAAGTGTATATATTTGCTCAACAAGCACACTCCATTCTTAAGTGTGGGTACTCACTGTTGATTAATTACAGCTGATTCTCGTTATGCACTTACATTCTTGAAGGTCACTGTGAACACTGAATTAGCAAATGCCGAACGATTGCTACTGGACCTATCGATATGTGGCCTTGTTTATGTGTGCTTCTGTTTATAAAGACACCGTATCTAATATATCTGTTGATGTATTAACATTGAGCTCATGGCCAACAGCACTGTAGCTCATGCCTGAACTAAGCGCATCTGAGTACAGGTATTTGCTCTGTAAGGTGCCCCGTGGCCATTTTGCACTTAGCAACACCAGACAGCCCTTCAGCGCTATCCTTGCAACCATTTTTTAAAAATGAAATTTTTAAAAAAACAAAACCCACAGAAAGGCAAAAAATGTGGCACTAAATAGACCTCGAAAAGGACACTTGCTTGTGGTACGAGAGCTGAAACAAGAAGGCAGTTGCTTCGTTTGACTCTCCTGGAAGCATCCATGTCGGGCGACTCCAGTCTTCACCACTCTATTCATGGCATCCACAAATGACTCCAGAAGTGCCACGAGGAGCCATTTGGGGGTTAAAGTGACTTTGCATGAGTAGGTTGAATTCACGAATGTGAACTTGCACATAACGAGAATCAACTGTGTTTCTCTTCTGTGAAAACTTGTGTGTGTCACAGAAACTAGAACCAAACTCTGGGACAGATCCAGGGTTGAGTGCCTTGCTTGGGACTGACAGCCTGAGCTTCCGGGTATTTTTTTCTCTAGAACCTGTCCTTCTTCCTGAAACCACCATGTGCACGATGGTCCCAGCTCTCGGAAGTGCTCAGCTGGCAGTTTTCTTCTGTCACCAAAAGAGGTCTCAACGTGGACCAGCTCAGCATGCTGGGAGAGAAACTACTCGGTGGGAACTTTTTCCGTATATGAAAATTGAAACTCATAAAAATAGCTCGACTTGTTCCTTTCCCCTCTTTGCTCTCTATTTTGATCAAGGTAGAAGAGTGTTAAGAAAAAAAAAATCGCTTGGCTTTTCCAGCTGCAGCTTGTTACAGCTAAGTGAGAATTATAGCTCAACCTCGGAAGTAGGTATAGACCTGATAAAAAAATTAAATGAATCATTTCCCAATTATCTCATGTTAACATTACTGAGCAGGTTTCCTAAGGGAAATATTTTTGAATTATGTAAAATATGTTAGTTGTGGCTAAAAGAGCTTCCCTGATGAGAAAGATGAAGTCTTATTAACCTTGGGGAGAAGAAAGTAATTCCCCAGTAAGTGTCCCCAGGGGAGGATAAGTAAGGTCCTGGGGCCACCCGCCGCATGGCATACACCCAAGGCTCTTGCCTCAGTGGTCCAAGCACGTGGAGACCCTGCCCACAGCAGGATGACATCCTTGGCCAGCAGTTTTGACTGGTTTTGGCAGGGTCCAGGCCATGATAGACAATTCCCGTTCAGTAGCTAATGTCATAGATTTATTAGTCTTCCACATAAGGAAGTCAAAGACCTACTAGCCTCAAGGTCAAATCTTCAATGAATGGTAGTATCTGAACTATTTCTTTGAAAATCCACAGGCAACTTTTTTTTTCCGAATTTGCTTTCTATACAAAGAATTGTGTATATTGCAAATACCAGTAGACTCTTCCTAACCAAGTAGCTCTCAATATGCCTTCTCGTGTCCACTTAGCTGTCACAGTAGGGGTCTTATGCCACTTAATAAGATGTAAGAAATCACCTCATTCCATTTCCTTATTTGGTGAGAATTAAGACAGATACCTTTTCTGCCTATAATGGCTTATTTGTGGTTCTCTCCAAAGAGAGATGACAGGCTCACCGCCTTGTACGGCCTGGGCTGCTTCAATTTGTGTAGCTGATAACCCCTAGGCTTCCTTCCCCTCTCTCATTTCTCTCACTTGGCTTTTGATCTGCATCAGCCTCCCTGAGCCCATGTCCTATTTGGAGGAGGGCTGAGGAAAATGTCCAAATAAGCTTGAAAAGTCAAGGGTCAGTGAAATAGATCACCTAGGGGTGATCTTGGTCTTAGTTTGAAGCTTGAGAAAGCTCTGAAGGACCAGTGGGAGAGGAGCCTGCTGAGGAAGGAGGAAGAGGCAGCTGGAGATGATCCTGCATAGACAGGGACCAAATGAAGTCTTCTCCAGAAAGCACAATTAATTAGTATCAATGTGTCTTGAGAATATCAACCATGTACATGCAGTCTTCCTCTTTTGGGTGTTGGCTCTTTGAGAGGAAATACAAGAGCCATCAGTCTAACCAAAGCTTCAGAGTCAATTTCCGTTTCCTGAAAAAGCTTGTTTTTATTTGGTTAGGTCCTAATGCTGGCCCCGATGGTCTCATTCCGTGGACAAGATTCTGTAAAGTGAGTACTGTCTGGGTTTTCTACGCTCCGAGTTCTCGCTCTCTGTTGAGGTTTTCATATTTTTTGCTGTGGTAGTTACTTATTTTTGTGCTTATTTTGGCATGTTTGTCCCTGGCCCGTGGAAACCCTAGGGCAGGTTGTTTACTTTCCTTCAGTGCAGAAGGTCAGTCTCCAAGTGTGAGTCTGACAGGAAGCGCCTGCGTGTGTGATAACATTCGTTCTATCTGAAATGAGTCTTCCATTTACCCACACTGGTCCCTTGCCTGGCAGCATTTTTGCCCCGTCCATGAGAATTGTGTGCTCTGTGGTAACCTGGACGGCCCAAGGGCCCTGATGAGTTTCCCCAAGCCTGCTCAAGCAGAGGGACCAGTTGGAGGGAATAATCAGACCCCGCTGGGGTCACCAGACAGTGCTGACAAGCTCACGCTACTGGATTTTACTAGTAGGAGGGCAGGTTTTGTTCTGTGATTCACCCTGGAGGTCATTCCCTGGCTGGTTCACTACAGTTTAGAGAAGGAAGCAGAGCCTGGCCCAGGAAAGAGAGAGCGTGGTATCTGCATGCCCATAAGGGGAGGGGCGGCTCTGTAGGGGACAGACGGGGTTAGTTTTGGCAGCTGGGCAGGCTTTGCAAATTAAAATCCGACGGTGGGAAGAGGCATGGTAAGTCACTATTTTGAATTTCTTTGTTCCTAATGTGTGCATTTATACACTTGCAGGAAAACATAAATGATAAAAATTTTCCTTTCTGGCTGTGGATTGAAAGCATCCTTGAACTCATTAAAAAACACCTGCTCTCTCTCTGGAATGATGGGTAAGGATCATTGATAGATTTATTTTTGAAACATAATTTTAGGACACACCCCCTTACTGCAAGGCTGAGACCCGCCTGACCTGGACAGACCTCCTCATTTGACAAGACTTGTGTGCCTCTCACAGAAACGGATGCTTCCAGGCTTTCTGGCTGGTCCAGTTGGGGCTTCATGACAGTGGAACCTCATAAGATTAAACTTACACTCTCATAGTATGTGTATATTCAACACTTAAGATTTTTTGAGCACCATTCATACATTCACTCCTTCAACAAAAATTTTTTTTTTTTTTTAAAGATTTTATTTAGTTATTTGACAGAGAGAGACACAGCGAGAGAGGGAACACAAGCAGGGGGAGGGTCAGAGGGAGAAGCAGGCTTCCTGTGGAGCAGGGAGCCCGATGCGGGGCTCGATCCCAGGACCCTGGGATCACGACCCGAGCCGAAGGCAGACGCCCAACGACTGAGCCACCCAGGCGCCCCTCAACAAAAATTTCTTAAGCGCTAACTTGCTGTATTGCAGCTAGGAAAGAAGAAAAACCTTTGTAACTCAGTAAATTGTTTTTATCTGAATTATTCCCAGGGTCAGTTGATATTTCAGCAAAGGCTTTCACTTGTCAGAGGTGCTAGAACATGAAAATATATTGTCTGAGACATTTTCATGGCCTTTAAAAATCAAGTGGAAAAAAAAAGGCCATCAAATAAACATAAAAGGCTCATTTAATCCAGCAAGTATTTACTGATCATCTATAGCATCCTATTGGCCCTGTGTTAATGATTGGTTTGCACTTAAGCAGACACGTGTATAAGCGAAATGCTACCTGAACTGTCAATTAAATAGATGTTAAAGCACCCAGAAGGGTCTATACATTTTTATCCTGTGTTCCTTTGTCAAGTTTCGGTAATCGACTTGGTCTGTAAGCTAACGTGAAAACATGGCTGAAGCTCAGAGTGCCTCTTGGATCGCTTTCCGCCCGCAGGTGTATCGTGGGCTTTATCAGCAAGGAGCGGGAGCGCGCGCTTCTCAAGGACCAGCAGCCGGGGACGTTCCTGCTGCGCTTCAGCGAGAGCTGCCGGGAAGGGGCCATCACGTTCACGTGGGTGGAGCGGTCCCAGAACGGAGGCGGTAAGCCCTTCTCCCTCGCGGCCGAGCGCCTGGGGCAGCCGGGGCGCGGGCAACCTAAAGCTTGGCCGCCCCCGAGCCTCGCAGAGAGCATTGAATACATTGCCAGGGAGAGGTGTGTGAGTCACGACCTGGAGCGCACGGTAGACATGACGGTTTTCTTAAAAAGACAAGGCCACATTCTTCAGTTTCTGTCAGGTTTGTCATCTGCAGAGGGAGGATGTGAGTCAGGGAGGCTGACAGGCAGTTTGGGGGAGGCCTGTGCGTGCAGCCGCATTGCGGGGAGCCCCACGTGGGGGCGGGCGGGTGGACCAGCTCCCGGAGAGGGGTCCTGCGCACCGGGCGCCGCCCTCGCCCCCACCCCGCCTGCAACCTCGGTTCTCGCTTGGGTTTCTGTTTCGCCTAATGAATTTGTGGCGGAAAGCCTCGGAGCACCTCCGCACCCTGAAGCAGGTTTCTGGGGAGGAGGCTGAACAGCAGAGATGAGAAAAGGACAGACAACGTTTCTTTTCGCAGTTGCTTCTAGTTTGCGCTCTTTGAGGGGCTGAAGGAATCCGGCGACTTTCCTGCTTTCGGGGGGCAAAGATGCAAAAAACAGGGCCGACTTTTCTTATTCTGTTTATTTTTTCTCTCCTAACGAAAATGCAGGAAGCCTGGGATCAGGGCCCAGGGTGGGCAGAAGATGTTAGAAACAGCCTTTCATCCTCTCGCAGGGGGGTGCCTTTGCCGAGCTGAGAGATGGAGCTAGCCAAGCAGGAGGCAGAGCTGAGGAGAGCCTTGGCAACCCCAAAGCTTAGGCGGGGCAGCACGCAGCACGGGCTGCAGAGCTCTGGGACGCCCCGCAGAGTCCGCAGTTGTAGGGCAGGGTTCCCAGGGCGCCCAACAGCAGCCTCTGGAGTGTGTGCGGCCAAAACTGAGCTAAGGGATCAGTCAGGATGCAGGGTTCAAATGAAGTCTGTGATAGGACCACGAGTAAATAAACGGGTTTATCGCATTAAGGATTAGAAGAAAAAGTAGCAAATAGGATCCTTTTGTGTTTGCTTACCAATTTTTTCCATGTATTGTCATTTATTTTAATAAAAAATTACATTCTTCAATCCTAAAAGAAAAGCAACCAGAAAATGAGCTTGTTTTTTATTAACTTAATCTGTGACTTGAGCCAAGATGATCCAGTTAGTATTTCTTTGGGTGGGGACAGCATTAAAGATGCAGGCTACTGAAGATGTTTAATAAACCTCTTCTTGCCAGGTTTACCAATCTCAGCAAATAACGACAAGTGCAATGTTGTTGCGTTGCCTTTATTTCTCCTGTTTCTCAGAAAGGATTATGATTTATTTAGAAATGAAGCAGCATGCTGTGTTATAAATCCTATATTGTGATTAGTTCTTACCGGGGGTCACTCAAATCCATAAAGTCTTGCAATGTTCTGTTTCTCTCCTCTGTTGTTTTGGGATAGTCCATGGGACTCACTTAGATCTTCTTTTTTAGAACCTTACTTCCATGCCGTTGAACCTTACACGAAAAAAGAACTTTCTGCAGTTACTTTCCCTGATATTATTCGCAATTACAAAGTCATGGCTGCTGAAAATATTCCAGAGAATCCCCTGAAGTATCTGTATCCGAATATTGATAAAGACCATGCCTTCGGGAAGTATTACTCCAGGCCAAAGGAAGGTAGGTGGGGAAAGTGAATGACCAGCACCCTGATGAGTAATAGCACAGGTGTGCTGAGGTTCCCGTTTCATCACCGTCCAGAGGTTTGCTGGAGCCCGGGTTTAGTCACGCACACCGGCCTAGCCGGCACAAGCTTCACCCTTGCTGTGTCCTTCACCCGCCACTTGCTTTTGAATTGCTGTAAGCAGGCTTTCCAAAGATGGTAAAACCCAAAGTATAGTTGAAATATAACATGCTATTTGGCCTGATACAGACAGTAAGAAATGAACAAAGAATTTCTTATTTTAGGAGTGTCAAAAAAGTCCATTTCTGGTCTTGTGTATTTATTACATTACTTTTTCCAATATTTTGGCCACCTGATTTATACCAGCCTGTTCCTGTTAAAATTGAGAGATCGAAGCAAAATGGTTCATTCAGGGTGATCTGATGAATTTGTGAGATGATATTATTTCTAGTGATTGTCGGTAAGAGCGCTTCTCCGTCTTTGCCAAATTCCATTTGAGATTCGGCTGCTCTGGTTTGGAACATGCCAACAAAGTTAATTATTTTCCAGAACCAGAAATCTCTATATTCATGCAGTTGCTTTGGGAAGAAGATGTGTATGTCGTACCGGCCAGGCTAGGCCCACTAACCCAGATACACCTGGCACATTTTGTGTTCTGGCTTCTGTAGGATTTTAAGCCTGGGAAGGAGAGAGCTCACAGCTTGACTTCTGTCCTGAGCTCTTCGCCCTTCCCTCTGAGTTCTTTCTGCATTCCCACTGGAATGTGAGGTGACCCAGGCAGGGAAGTCACTTAAAGCTTAAAGCTCCAAGACCCACCCGACTGTCAGGGCAGACAGTAAAATTTTGATGAAAGAGAACGTTGATCGTCGGTTCTTGGGTAAGGTCTGCTAACCGAAAGTTGTACCCGATGTGTTTGCTTCTAGCCCCAGAACCAATGGAACTCGATGGCCCAAAAGGAACTGGATACATCAAGACTGAGTTGATTTCTGTGTCTGAAGTGTAAGTGAACACAGAAGAGAGCCATGTTTAAAACCCACAGGCCAGCCCCGCTCCTGGCTGGGGCCTGTTGAAGATGCTTGTCCTTTGCTTTCTCACTGTAGTCGCTGCTGCTGCCACCACAGTTGGACTTGTTGGAAAGATCCTAACTAGAGATCCTGGTGTCACTGCCTATCAGAATTTTACTGCCTTTATACAAAACAAACAAAAACAAAAACCCCAAACACCACCACCACCACCACCCAAGGTTGTATTTAAGTCCCCCCCAAACTGATACTTTGAAAAAGTATAAATAAAATGAACAAAAATGGATCAGAGTGGGAAAGTAGTTATTTTCAATCGAGGAAAAGGCCAAAGTGATGATTGAGATACATTTTTTTTCCGCTTGCTTTTATTTTGTTGTTTCATTTTATAAAAGGTAGACAAAAATTTGGAAAAATCATTGTCAGTTATTTGGCCTGCAGCACTGTCTTGGGGTGAATGGATGTAGCCTTCATGTAAAAACACTCTGGAGCAGCTTTATCTGCATACAAACCTCAAGGTAGGGACGAGGGACTCCCCAGACATGTCTCTGGAGCTTCTCGGGCCAGCCTGAGCCCCGAGGCGCCGGCCCCTCAGGGTGACGCGCTGCCCGCGCCCGCCCGCACCTTTAACCAGGCAGGAGCGGCGCAGGTCCCAGGCCTGGCTACCTCTCACTCACATCTCTAGAGTCCTGGACGTTTCCCAAGGGGCCGGGCTGGGGACAGGAGCCTCCCGCCATCCGTACTTTTCCAAATGTACTGCGCAAGCGGGTGCACTGAGCCGAAATAAAGATCTCAAGTGATCCTTCCGTCACAGGCCAAAGATGAAACGTCGAAGTTGGCACCACCGGTTTCACAGTCTCAGTGCTAACATTGCCTTTTCCTTTCTCCCCATTTTAGCCACCCCTCTCGACTTCAGACCACAGACAACCTTCTCCCCATGTCTCCTGACGAGTTTGACGAGGTGTCGCGGATAGTGGGTTCTGTCGAGTTCGACAGTATGGTGAGTACCCCGCGGGGCTGGCGTTGGTGCTCGCCGAGCAGGTGCGCTCTGGGGCGGGGACGGGGGGCTGCCCAGCAGCCGCTCAGCCCAGCTGCAGGGTCCCGGAAGGTGCCTCTGGCAGAGCCGGCGAGGGCGTTTTAGATCAGCCCTGATAAGTCGGAGCCTGCTGTGCTTAAACAAGCTCCATCATCACCAGGATGCTTTATTCCTGGCACTCTGCACCTTCCAGAAACTAAATGACATTTCAAATACTGAAAAATTCCACCTCTGCCCTTTGAAGTTGTCCTTGCAGAAATTTCATATATTAAGGAACTACCGTTTCCCTGATAAGAAAATGTTTTCCTTCGACCTGTTATTTCAGCACTGTGTCTGGGTGCAGGAGTGTTATTTTTAGGAAGAGAGAGGACTGATGCTCGGCAGTTAACAACCCTTATGGAGGCTTCAGCAGCAACAGTGGTACAGTTCCACCTGCTTCGTATTTGAGGACTGATTTGGGCTGCTCGCACCTGGGGTGGTTGGGCACTTGCCAAGAGTAGAAGGTTCTAGGAGTGAAAGAGTTATGAGTGTCATGACCAGAATAGGAACAGGGTTGTCCACAAAAGAGAGAATCTACTCCCTCTGGGAAAATGTTTTTCAGTAAATCAAATGGTATTGTTTGCCTGTCGGGCCGAAATCCTTCCTCTTAAAGACTTTTTTTGGTTGGCTGGAATTTTGCTGACACTGTTTAATTTTAAGCTCTTTTCCACGTGAAGCTATTCCAGTCTATTTGTTAAAATGTGTTTACTCCTTTAAAAAAAAGTCCTCCCTGAGTTATTACCATCCTTTCTTCATCAGTTTCTTATAACTGGTGCCTGGCACAGACCATTTGCTCAGGGGCGAGGCAGGAGGGCAGGGAAGGGAAAGGAGAGGTGGAGAGAGGGTACCGTCCTTCAGACACCCGGGGTCCTGTAGCCGTGTGTGCACATGACATCAGTAACACCTTTGAGAGTCAAGTTTCTGGTATGTAATTTCTTTCTTGGTCCTTTTTCTCACCTGAAGAAGCCCAGGTTCAACTCTTTAGAGACCGTAATTTCTTACACGTTCCTGATGGTTGAGAATGAAAAGTCACTTCTGTTCCTGTTGGCAAGTGTAAAATGAACCTTTTCTATGGGCAAGGATGCATCCTCTGGTGCAATGTAGCCCTGAGTCTGCTATAAAGTGCTTTCTAAGCCTGACTCAAAAATGGAACAAATATAAAGCCCTGTTCCAAGAGTGTAAGATCTGTTAATGGAACCACAAAATGGCTGTGCTTTAGCAAGTTGCATTATCATCACAGCAGCACCATTAATAGGTGAGATTTACTGTGTACCGGGCACTCCACCATAGTGACTTCATCAGTCTTTACAACCCCCTTCTGAGTTAGCTGTTAGTGTTATTCTCAGTTTTACAGTGTGGAAAAGGAGCACCCCCCCAATCCCAAATTGTATAACTTGACTAAGATCAAACAGCTAGTAAATGGTGGAATGAGTATTTGAACCCACCCGGTGAGTCTCCAGCGTGCATACTGTCCACTGTTCTGAAATGCCTCCCAGAAAAAGCAGAGCTTCATCTCATTCAAAACATCCACCGCACAGAAACTGTATGCACAGGACTCACTAGGTCTCACCCCAGTTTATTAAGACAAAGGCGGCATGGCCTTTGGATGAGAAGCCCGTGTTTGGGATTCAGAAATCAGAGTTCCACCTCTGTCATCACCATTATTCCCCTCGGCCTTAAGAAAATGAGATGGATTAGTTGTCTCCATCTGTGCAGATGGTGTGACTTACTTTCTTTGTGTTCTTGGGATGATACTGGGAGAGCGATTTAAATTCTCTAAATAAAGGCCAGGAAATGGACACCCCCCCCCATAGCCATTCTATTCCAGATGACTTCATTCATGTCATGTGTAGGGCAGAAGAAGTCTGTCTGACACACACACACACACACCCCACCCCCCTCTCCAGGTTAAACCTTTAGCAGACTGAAAGAGCTAGGGGAGGTGATAATCTGGACAAGGCACTGGCTGGACAAAATAGAAGTTGAATTAGTCCCCAAATTGGGTGGACTCTACTTTGTCTCAGATGATCTGTCCTTAACCTTGGCCATGATTTCCAGTCAGCATCTGCCTCTGGCAGGAGAGCATACACTCTGAAACAGAGCAACCTCTCTCAGAGCTGGCTATTTCAGCCACGTCTGCAGCTTGCAGCTCTGGATTAGGGTCAGGAACAGGAGGACCGTAGGCCCCTGAGGAAACTGTCCAAGAGAGACAGAGCACCAGTGTTTTCTGCAGGATGACTTGAGTGTTTGTTTAGTCTGGATTTCCTGTACAATAAACTTCTTCCTCAGGGACTACGTGAGAACCAGTCTACTCTCCTGCCGGCTTTTGGGCAAAGCTGATGATAACAACAGGAACATTTATTAACCATCCTGTTTCCATCTGCTACACTAGGCCTTGTACATGGTATCTCATTTAATCCTTCCAGTACATTCTTCTGCTTTGGAAGGACAAAGACCTTGAGATTTCAAGGGGTTGGGTGATACACCACAGTCACACGCGCCAGTGAGAGACGGTGACAGGATTTGGATCTCGGCTTCCTCTCCTTCTCCCTGCCTCTCTCTCTTTTCCTCTCTCCAGAAGCCCACTCCCTTAACTATACATTTCAGCCACACACTGAAACATAGGGGCAAAACCTTCATTGTGCTTTTAATCCAAAATAACGTTCTTACGTAAGCGCCCACTGTGTCCTACCCACCACTGAGCACTTAGGATTAAAAATAATGGACTCATTATAGAAACAACTATAAATTCTTACAAATTCCGACTCTCCTGTTTTGGTCACTCTGTGGCTTCCTAAGTAGGTATTAAAGGAATTCCCCAAAATCTTAAAGGGCAGTTCCCAAGAGGCTTGCAGTCTAGTCCTGTGTTTTTATTGGTATTCCAGGACGCAAGTAATTTTCTGTTTCAGAGGGCTGTTCTCCGCACTGTAGATTATTTAGCAGCACCCCTGGCCTCTGCCCACTAGGTTGCCACCAGCACACCCATGCCCAGACCGAGTCACAACAATCAAACCTGGCTCTAGACACTGCTGTAGAGCACCTGGCCCGAGGGGAGAGCCCAGCAGGGACATGAGCTAGGAAGTTGGTGGCAGGCTGGGATTGTTTGGACGCTCAATTTACTGCCCCCAAGGTGCCCTGCTCCGGGCAGCTGGGCAGGAGGCACTACGGGGGGAGGGGAAGGGCTTCCTCGTAATTCTGTGTCTCTAGTCTGTACCTGAAAGACATTCATTTATCATTCCTACTGTGTGGACTTTAAGGAACATTCATCATCTCCTCCCCCATCCCGTCCTCCGTCTGGCGCACAGCTCAGCACTGCCTCGTCCTTGTTTTGTGGGAGCAGATTTGCCACGTTGCTCTGCCCCCAGACTTGCATAACAGCAAAAAGCTTTGTGCGGCCTGGATGAATTGGCAGAATGAAGCCGGCAGGCTACAGAGGAATAATCCATCAGCTTAGATGACATAAAAGGTCTCGATTACTCTGGGAAAAAGGATAAACAGCACATGCTGAAGGCTCTCTAATTCCATGGTGGTTATTTGCTGTGGAAGTGTCTTCTTGCTAACCCCATTGTAGAACCAACAGGCCGAGTTAGAGATGTGGATCTGCATTTCACAAGAGCTGTGTAATAAACTTAACCACATTTTATCTTTTTACAGATGAATGCAGTATAGAGCATGAATTTTTCTCATCTTCTTTGGCGACATTTTTCCTTCCCATCTGTGATTCCCTCCTGCTACTCTGTTCCTTCACATCCTGTGTTTCTAGGGAAATGAAACAAAGACGAACAAATTTGCTGCAACCTGTTGATAGCAAGTGGATTTTTCCCTAATTCAGAAACGTCTGTTACTCTGAAGGGCTTCATGCATCTTATGAAAGGTAAAATTGAAAGGCCCTCTCCATAGAGTGGGTTTTACAAATGAACAATATCCAGATACACTGAAAACATCAGGGCTAAAATGAGAATCCTCGGGGAAGGGTGAGGAGTTGAGCGGCACTTAAAATGCTGTGCACAAAGTCAGTGCCCAACTGTTACAGGCTGTTGGATAGATCACACAGTTATTTAGGGAACTTCTTGATGTAGGATTGACAGATTTCTATTCTGGAGAATTCTTATTTGTTCCCTCTGCTTTAAATATGGCTGGAGGCTTTCCATTGGTTTACCTGTGAAATCGTTCAAAGCTAAGTAACGCAGAGTTACATCAGCTGTTTATCAAAGGTAGCCATCCTGTATCTGGGCAGGGGGTAAAAGTTGTGTTCTTTATTTTACTACGTTTTCCACACTGGCCATTTAAAGCTAAAAGCAAATTCTCTCCCTTGGGAGAATTAGCTTTTCTGTTTGTTATGGCTTTGTGATACTGGCTAATATCAGTGGAAGGAAATACATTTTCCAGACTCTTGAGTAGTTTTTGTCTGTTTAAACCTTAGTATCCAAAGCTGAATATATTCCGCCTTCATCCTGGTCACTAGTAAATGAAATTATCTTCACATCTCTGTCAAGGGAACCAACTCTCTCAAGACAAAAATCCTGTTACTCTTCAAAAAGTTGTAGTTAACTGTAGATGTAGACCAAATCTAGAAATTTAATTCGTGTTTCTTAAATGGGTTAATGTGTCTTTATTGTTATTAGCTGGTAGTCTTAGTCATAAAATTTTCAAATTGAGAAGAAAAAATAGTGACTGACAAGTAATTAACCAGAGATCATATGAGAATCAAACAATTTGAAAACTCGTCCTGTGTAACTGCATTGAGAATTGCATGTTTTTCACTGATAAATGTGTGTTTCGGACAAATACATTTGCAAATGGTTCCATTATCTCTCCTGTGCTTTTTCTAGACTGCTTTCTGGTGTTTCGTGAAGCGTATTCTGTTACCGTCTTCCTTCACTAGCACTGACACCACCCACGTGGCTTAGCGGGGCGGGTTCAGCAGGGTCCTTCCACAGAACGTTCGCAGACTGCTGTCTCTGTAGCTGCGCCTTCATTTCCCCACCGTCGCCACTATGGTTCTATTAGTACGTAAATGCCATGTTTTTTGGGTGGGGATAAACTTTTCTCAAAGTCTATTCTAAAATTTAAACTTTACGTATTGCATTAAATATAATCTGCCCGTGGTGCTCTCCTCCTCTCAGTTTTTACTAAGAACACATGAACCTGACTGGCTTTGCATTGACTTTTTAAGTTGAAATGAGGAAGGAACAAAGAAGAGAACATTAAAAAAAATAGTGTTTCTAATTGTCGGCATTTAACTGCTGGTGTGTTTTGGCCCTTTGAGAACAACCTGGCGTGGTTTCGTTTTATCATGCCAGACAAGAGATTTTGGTTACTTTTGAGAAGTACTGAAACTCTAACGTTAGTCTCTTACAAACAACTTTGGCGTAAAGATTTTAAAAGTTACTGGCATTATGTGTAGGTTTGATGTTTTTTCTCATGTTTTTCTTACTTATGCTTAGACATACAAACATGTGAGTCCTTATTTTTGATTAAGGCTGATAACACCACGTTCCTGAGCACTGCCCTTTCTTAACCCGCTTGCAGTCTGAACTGCTGTGGCCGATGGGTCAGTCAGTGGAAGACAGGCAGGAAGCAGTATTGGAATGAGCTGCAGTGAGTGCCATGAAAAGCAAACAAAGTGCTTTGGTCTTGCTGACCGCAGCTGCCTCCAAATGCCCAAATAATTTGGCAGTTAGTTTGAAATGTATTTTGGTACTGCTAATAGAAGTTTCTAACTTAGAAATACATGGCAAGTGGGACTCTGACTTGTCTCCAAAGCCACATCTCAGACCCACATCCCAAGATTAGAGGAGCTCTTCCCGAGGAGTCACTGTGCCCACGTCAAAAGGGGCCATTTTTCTCCAAAGGTGTTGTAAGCTAGAAAGCCGTGGCCTTCTCAAAGTAAAAGGCACTGTGTGCTGGAAAAAAAATAGTGTAATGAAAGACATAATCACCACTTAGACATAAATATGGCAGGCTAGACTTAACTATTGTTTGAAGGGTTGTCAGGGAATAGTGGTGTAGGCTTGAATGCTGGCATCCTAACAAATAGGACCTCTCTCATCTCTGTATCTGCAGTATTTACATCTAGGAAACATAAAGTTTCTTTATAATAAACATGGAGAACTGTATTTCTCCAGTAGGTAAGGCCCTCCCTAGCCATAAGTTTATTATGTTCATGTATAATCATTATCATGAGTCACCATGTAGATCCTGGTTTACGGATGTTTGTGAGTTTTAAGAGTACTTCTGGTGTGGTGTTTGTAGAGGGTTTGATAAGCATAGAGCTGTTATGTACCACCTGAGAAGAATTTCTCCTTATTAAGGAAGGAGATTTCTGAGATGGCAATAAATGATTGAGCGATTTATTCAGCATTAAATGACCGAAAGCTATTTACTGCCTGTAAGCTAAAATGGAATATTAAGCCTCAATAAACAAAGCACTCCTTTCACTTCTGACTATCCCAGGGAAAACAAGAAAAAAACCCTAGAAATTGTTTTGAAAACTGTGGTACCTACTGTTTGAACCGGGATGCTGTTCCCAAAGCAAGGGGTATTTCCTTGAGTGGCTTCTTTTGGTTAGTTAAAACTCATTCACTATACTAGTTCATCAAATATATATTGAGCACCTGCCATGAGCCAGGCACTATTCTAGATGTTTGGGAAACATTGGTAAACAAAAACAAAGATCCCTGCTCTTTTGGAGCCTAAGATGTTTTGAGATACTGGATCATGTGTTCTAGTTGCCTTACTTATGAAAACATAAGATTTTGTGAAACATAGCCAAAAGCTACAGATAACTTAAATTGCTATATAAAATTATGCACAATTTCAAGGAAATGGCATTTAAAACAGTTTTAGGAAGGCTAAAGATAATATGGTTTTTAGAACCTACTAAGATGAGTTTATATAGCCCTTAAAAGATACTGACAATCACACTCAGCTTCCAAGTTTTGGTAAACTAACTTCAGGTTATATGCATATGCTATACTGAGAAATTAAACCTCTTGCTTGGCCAATTGAAAAAAGTACCACACTTAAGCAGTTTTAAACGTATTAAATTTATATTGGGCATACAAAGGTAGAGGTTCCTCAATGGTACCTTTGACAGGAAGCTAATAAAAGGTACTGTATTCTTATACTATGTAAATTCTGTGTTTCTTAGTGCCATCACACTAATGCCCTAGTGTTGGTGTGTTTTTTGTACACGTATGAAGCAGTTTCTTTTTGTTATTATGAGTGCTTGTTGGACTCAATTCTAGTAGGCTCTTTAAAAGACAAGTGGAGAGGGGCGCCTGGGTGGCTCAGTCAGTTAAGCATCTGCCTTCAGCTCAGGTCATGGTCCTGGGGTCCTGGGATCAAGCCCCACATCGGGCTCCCTGCTCAGCAGGGAGTCTGCTTCTCCCTCTGCCTCTTCCCCTGGTTGTGCTCTCTGTCTCTCTCTCAAATAAATAAATAAAAATCTTAAAAAAAAAAAAACCCACAAACACGTGGAGAGGCAGCTAGGGGCAAGGCTGGGGTGCATGGAGGCCTGGGATCAGGTTCAGGCTCCAGAATAGAAATAAAGTGTCCAGTCTTTGCCCCTTTGTAATAACTGATTTAATTTTCTAATCTTTCCCATCCCAAAACACACCCTTCCCGGAACTTCTAGTAATCACATCCTTTCTTTATATAACTATAAAATACCCCTTCCCCAAAAGCCCCTTTTAAAGTGCCACCTAACACATTCATGGGCTGCTTCCCTGTGCTAGCTAGTCTGTGATTCATGAATTTACTCATTTTACTATGAAGGTTAGTAAGTGAAATTAGGAAGATTACCCAGCCCTTGTAAACAATCCCGCAAAACTAAGACGCTCATGTTGTATCAAGGATAAGCATAATTTAATGCTTCCATATTTGGTGTCACTCATCTGTTCGTCTCCCCTGTACTGTGTGCTGCCTCTATGTGGGAATGTATATACCATAGCTCCTGGTGAGCTCTGCAAGGCTGAACACTGTAGCACTTACACTTGTCTTTAAAACTCCACAGACAGGTTTTAGCTAATTTGCAACTCGCCCAGTTTTCTGTCCATAGTGGGCACAGTGTGGTAGGATGCAAAGAACATGAGACTGAGAGTTCTGTATCACAGCCCACTCTTGGGTCTCAGCTTCATCTATGAGAGTGGGATTAGATTAGCGATGTCTGATGCCTCTTTCAGTCCTAAAATGTCGGTAACGCAGATGATTCACATCATCTAACTACTATTGCAAAGCAAATTACTTTGTGACAAACAACTTCGATAGTTGAAAACGGCAGTCATGGTATTCTCATACCATCTCTATGGTTAGAAAACCACACACTAAGCCTAACCCTGTAGACCAGGGGTTTCTGGCCTTGGAAGCGAATGCCATTCCATATACCCAGCTTGTCCTACTCAGACCCTAGTGTGGCGGTACTAGATTCGGCTCCCTAAATAGGTGCTGTCTAGGAAACAGGGCAATGGCTGAAGCCACTGACTTCGACTGGAAGCAAAAATCTAAACATTTGGAGGCTGCTAGTGAAAACCACCTCTCTTCTCCTTAAAGGAGGTTAGAACCCCTCCTAGTGAAGGACATGTTTAATGATTGAATTCTACAGATACTGAGTGTGTCCTAACTGCAAAATGATAGTGTTCACTTCTAGAGCACTGGAAACATGCCTGTCCATCCTTCCACCCTCAAGGATGAACTCCTTACAGGATCGTCCTCTCATTGTGATAACCCCAGCTGCCGCCCTGCATAGTACCTGGCTCAGAGGAGGCATGAGAAATTGATTTGAACCAACTAGATACAGTCTGTATGCTCAGCAGAGTTCCCAACCCAGTGATGTAAGAAATCCTTAGTGGTTTTAAAAAATTCATTTTTTACAGGTTTTTTTTTTTGGATACATGTATTTATTATGCTGTAAAAAGCAACACTACCTGATTTCATTTAAAATAAATATTTCCCAATTTCAGAATACTTACAACTTATAGTTTTAAGATTAGATTCAACTTTGGGAGGTTCTGGAAGCAAATACATTCATAGCTGTACAATCCCCAGGAAGAATCTAAATCCAGCATTGGGTCATTCAGTCCCCACCCGACAAACAACAGCATCAAATGGTCGACAGCAAATCCAGCTCTACAGCTAAAGGGCAGTGTGGGGCAGTAGTGGGACACAGCACATTGCACCCCAAAATGAGATCATTAGAATTGAGACCACCAAAAACAGCAATGTATACGAAGCTTTAAATAAACATGACCACAGAGAGCTCTCATGGTACAGAAAAAGCACTTAATGATCCTAAAGCCAAAACAGATCTTTGGAGTATACTGATGGCAGCAGTTAACAGCACAGTCAAAAGCACTGAAACCAAGTGTACTTGTTATTACCAGCCGACAGCAAACAGCCAGAGCAGGAACCAGCGTAGTCATAAATAACCTCATGGGTAAATAAGGGCACATTTGACTAAACCACAAAGATTTTACAAAATAGTTTTGACCTGACAAAAAAGATGAAAACTCTGTTTCCAAACAACAGTTAGAACCTCTTTTCATTAAAGCCTCAAAATTGTTGGTAACCTTTAAGCCACACAATGGAATCAATCATCTTAATGTTTCATTTTCGTCACAAAAAGCAAGCTGCTGTGTGAGCGAAGTTATTTCAGTTGATTTCAGCTAAAGAACATCTACCGCATATAATCTGCGGGGATAGTGCAGTTCCTCTACAGCATTTTGCAAATACTACCTGTCTGCATAGCTAGAGAGATCTGTGGGGCAGAAGCACAGCGGCAGGGCCAGGTGCCCACCCACCGTATTCCCCA